TTTGGAAACTCGGGGTCGTTCTCTTCCCAGGGAGCAATCCCAACACGTTGGAATAAAATCCTTTTGCTTTTGCATCGAACTTGTGTCCCATGAGTGACTCTGTGGGGTTCGTTTCCCGAGGTTGGACCCCCCTTTTGGGCCCAACAGAAAAAGGATGGGCCCCCATAAACTCATACATGTGAATGCTTGCTCACCAGGGAGTGGAGCTGTTTAAAAGAATTGCAAAGAGGTGTGGCCTTGGTGGAGAAATTGTGTCATCGGAGGTGGACTTTGAGGTTTCAAAAACTCGCACCAGGCTCAGTGTCTTTTTGTTGTTTTCTCTCTACCTACATAAGATCAGGATGAGGCTCTCAGCTATTTCTCTAGTAGTGTCTGTCTGCTCCCCACCATGACGATAAAGGACTAATCCTCTGAAACTGTAACCAATCCCCCAATTAAATGCTTTCTTTTATAAGAGTTGCCTTGCTTATGGTGTGTGTCTCTTGGCAGTGAAGGAACAGTGACTGAGACAGAATGAGTGAAAATGTCTGTTACCCCCGGGTTAAGGGTGTGTGTGGGGGGCTTGTCAGAGCTTGCCATTCATTAGTGAGGAGGCTGACCCAGAGAATGTGCTTAGGATAGGGAATGTTGCTTTGGGGCTGATAAGGAATCCAGTTTGGGTCATGGTCCTATCAGTTCTCATAGGAAGAGGACCTCTTTATGTTGAGCGCCTCGTTGTACGGGAACAAAGTTGGAGTAGACGCCCATTTCCAGGTTAGATTTGAGCCTGAATTGCTTGGGTCTATTTTCCATGAGTAGAGATAGACATCTTTGCGTAGAGAGGCTCCCACTTCGTAGACTGAGGTGTATATATAGCCTGATGGCTTTTCAAACTCTTGGCGGAAAATGTCCTGGCTTACCACATCAATAGCAGGAGGCATTCTAAAGCTAGGTCAGTTCCCTTAGACTGAACTGGATGGCCACTACATGAAGCGCTAGGAGCTTCTGAATTAGGAAGAGAGTAAGTCCATGTTAAGGTTTCAGTTTGTCTTTTTTTCTTTTTCAGTTTTGTCCCTCTGGCTTTTGGGGTCTCTTCCGGGTTATTAAAGGCTTCCAGAACCATGTTAAATAAGTGTGGAAAGGAGTCTAGGGTCTCTGGCATATTTTTGTTTAAGTCTAATGTCTGGAGTGGCTTGACTCATGAAATATACAGACCAGTGTACTGGCTTATGTTTTCAGCTAGTCTGGGTTGAAACAGAGCAGGGTTCTTGGGAAGCTCCTTGTGTTATTTTCCACAGCTTGTTATAGTTAGTAGGTTAATAATGACCCACCCTTTCCAGTCCCCTGATGCAATTCCAGTGGGTCCTTCCCCATAATGCCCTATGTCAGTGGCTTATGTGAGGAGTGAAGTCCTGCTTTGGGCAAATGAGCAGGCGTTGGCCTGTCTGTAATTAATTGTGAGTCTGAGTCTCATCAGGTAAAGAAACCTATGAAGCCGGTGGTTAGGATGACATAGATGCACTTCTGGGTTAGATCCATGGTGACCGTGATAGATCCCTTTGGATTCCTAAATGAAGGTGGAGTCCTGGCTAAACATCCAATGTCTGTATTATACTTGGGGTGGGCCAGACATGGGAAAGCGGATATACACTCAGATGGTGCGGAGGTCCCCATTAAGCTTCTAATAAATGGGAAGGGTGTTCTCTTGAGTGAGAGGAGATGGCTTCTAACTGTTTCCTAAGTTCCATGTATGAGCCAGCATGCATGAGAGACAAGGAGAGAGGAGAGAGGACAGAGGAGAGAGAGAGAGAGAGAGAGAGAGAGAGAGAGAGAGAGAGCGAGAGAGCGAGGGTGGTGAGGAACAGAGGCTATATATATAGAGAGAGCTGTGTAGGTGAGAAGCAGGAAGAGAGGGTGAAATTGGAACAGAGCTAGCAGGAGGAGGAGCTGGGCGGCTGGCAGAGGGAGGGACGGGGCAGCTGGAAGCACAGAAGCCACAGGTGGGGCAGTAGAAGCAGACTCCTGCCTGAGACTGTCCTATCAAAAGACCAGACTTGGATCCAGACATTTGAGAGCTCTTTCCTAAATCATGACAAAGGAGATATAATTTTAGGATGCATTTACACCTCGGTGTGCTATAGGGCAACTAGCGTTCTGATATGGAGGTCGTTATAAGTACCACAGTCTGTTACAAAGGAAAGCACCTTTTTATTTAAAAAAATGAAAACATAAGGATAAAATTTAGACCGATTTTTGAGAGCATATCTAGGAGTGAATCAGAAGGAATAGGAGCGATGAGAGCTTTCATGCATGCATTCTCCAGGCGGTCTTTGAAGGCAGCAGCGCCCCCTGTTGTCAGGGGTGAGACCTGCTCTAACCAGGAGAGCGTTTCCCATCCAGGACACTAAGACATTACCTACAGCTCACCTTCTGTTTCAACTCCACAGCTCTGTTACAAACACAGCTGGTTACTACCGAACATTCTCACCCTTTCCTCCCTCTCAGTTTGTATCCACTTTTGTTTTTTGGCCCCTGTCTATTCCTAGCCTCTCTTACTAGTTAATTATGCTTAAAATTCCAACCCAAAATGAAGCCTGTCTTAAATTCATTCTTTTCTTCTAGTCAGACATCAGTCACTTCCTCGACCATTGCAATTTATAAGCTGCTCTTATTTTTTTTACATCATTTAATAATTGATTGTATAATCTTCCTCAGTAGGCATGAGTGGCTACAGGTCTAGAACGCGTGCTCTGCCTTTTATTCCTAGCACTCTGTAAGTTTATCAGGCCATCAGAATGGATTCACAGAATCTCCTGGTGAATAAGCAAATGTGGAAAATATTGTAAGACATATATGATTGACAAATCTGATACTAAGAAAATAAATTGTTCTGTTGTCATCTATAGGAGAGAATCCACTTAACTCTTCAGATACAGTGAGGCAGGATGATACAGGTAATTCTGCAGGATCCAGTCTCTCTCTCTCCTCTTTCTACATGCCAGTCCCGAAGGATGAAGGTAGGATGTCAGCTTGGCTGCAAGCATCTTGGCCAGGTGTCATTTCATTGGCCTTTCTCTCAGATATCTGTTGTGAGCACCCTTATAACGTGTTGTTTTGTGTGACACAGGGTCTCACTATACAGCCTACCCTGGTCTCTTAACTCAAAACTTTCCTGCCTCAGCCTTTCTTCCAGCTGGGATTATGAGCAAGCACATTTTTTTTTTTTCATAAAAGAAGCTGCCAAGGATGGGCTGTTGGCCTCTTGGTGTACATCCTGTCAGACCTGTCCTCCCAGGAGTAGAACCTGTGAATTAGGAAAAGGTGGTGGGAGTGCTCAGTAATAACCAGTTGTGTTTATAACAGAGTTGTGCAGCTGTGGGTGGGGCAGGCTGCTGAAGAGCTTAAGTCAATTTGAGGTTCAACAGCAACCAAAACTTCAGAGCACAGCAGCTGTCAACTGAGCAGCTTCTCTCCACCCCTCTTCCATGGGTGGTCATGTTGGCAGCTGTTCTAATCAGATAGGAAACTTCACCCCCCAGTGAGCTGTGGCTACCTGAAAGAGGCCGTCCTGCCATGCCCTGGACTTTGTTCTGGAAGACTCTACCACACCCATGAACCCTGAATACCCTGGTAGAGCTGGGAGGATCACTCTTGGCTACTGAGACGTCCATGACAATATCAGACGGCGTTAAAGAGATTCTACTTGACTCTGTTGCTCTAGATGACCCCACTGCCATGCCTGACTTTGAAACAGCTGTCCTAATTTGGGTAGGAATGAAGCCACTCTCCTACCCATGGCAGTTAGATACGTGTGTGACTAGCTATGCAAAAAATATCCTGTTCTCCGCCGGAAGCCATCATTGATTGTTTTATTAACCTAGGATGTTTTCTCAGTCACTCCTGGTAGTGAACCTGTCAGTGGTAGAGGGTGTGCATTTTACAGCGTCCATCAGTGGCCTTGGGACTTCACGACTCCATTTTAGAGGGCTTTGTCTGCGATGAAGCACGGGTTAGCAGGAACCAGAGTGGAGAAAAGTGGATATATTTACACTCAGGGTATATCAGTAGCAGTCTGGGTTGCAGATAACGGGGGAGGCCGCTCGAAGCTTGTATTACTCTTTCTAACACGGTGGGTAGCGCCTTAGTTCCCATTCGGCGTCACATTCAACAATGTGTGGTGCTTTCCGTCAGCTGTTTTCCCCAGGAGGTTTAATGTGATACAAAACTTAACGAATGGGCTTTGGCATCAGATCACCCACCAGCCTCGGTGAGCAATGTATAAAACCTTATTATTCTTTTTTTGGCCCCAGACCAAAAAAAAACAAAAAACAAAAAACAAAACAAAAAACAAAAAACAAAACTCAGTAAACACAAATCGCTGTGAGTCCTGGAGCAAAATAAGTCACAACCACCACCACCACTACTACCGAGATTACCTTCCTCCAAAAAAAAAAAAAAAAAGTTCTGATCAATGGAAACAAAGAATAACAGATCCTAAGCGGACCTGAAAGGTTTAGTAATCTGTATGTGTTAGTATCTTTTGTATGGAAAGGAGTTGGGTTAGCGCCCACCTGGAGCGAGCCAACCTTCATAAATTATTCTCGGCTGGGTTACAGTTAGCACGTGGCTCGGAAAAAAAAAGCGTGGGCCAAGTAAATTTCCCGTCTGCAGAAAGAAGGATCATACGTCCACTCCTTTAACCGCTCAGCAGCTACTTTCCAGATGCCTCCTGAGCATCACCGTGCAGACGGACCGCCCGGCCTGGATCTCAAAAGAGCCTCCTGTTTTGTCTCCATGGTAACAGGAGACGGTCCACGGGGTGTGGTTTGCAAGAGGCAAAGCCTTGCTCCAGTACAAAGCGCATCCGCCGCCGCCTCCGTCCCACCTTTCAACTGCGGGCGCCAAGGACGCGGTAGCTCAGCAGGATCCGGGAAGCGGCTCAGCAAACCCGCTAATCCCCCCGCCGCCCCAGGGATGCGCAGGCGCACTGGGGACGCCGCGGAGCATGCTGGGCCTGCGAGCTCAGCCGGTTGCTAGGAGACGGGGACGCCGGGCTGCGGAGGAGCCGCGTACTCTAGGCCCCGGCTGGCCAGAGGAGCCGAGCGACGGCGAGCTCGTCTTCCCCGGGGGCCCCGCGCCTGCTGGGCCGAAGACACGCGGCTGCCTGCCCCGGGCTCGAGGAGCCATGGAGCCTGGGAAGGTCGGTGTGCCGCCGCAGGGTCCGGCCCGCGCCCGGGCTCCCCCAGGCTTGGGCGACCGTGGAGACCGCGTTTCTTCCTTGGCCTGCACTGAGCCTCAGAGAGCTGCAGGCCGAGTCCCGGGTCCAGGTCTTAGTTTTGCAGACCCGGTCTGCTGGAGTTTGTGAACTCACCCAGGGGCATGGCTGAGAAGCAACTCAACGAAGGCACAGGACTCCTGCCTGGTCTTGAGGCGCCCTTTATGGGGGGCTGGTCATCCTTATAGAGGCTTAAAAACAGACCAGAACAAAACAAACAAACAAACAAAAAACTGAGAGGTGCAGTAGTAGTGAGCCTACGGTAGATGCGGTTGTTGACTTTAACCTTTGTAGGCCATCTGTGTTAAGAATTCCGTGTCTTTAGGGTTGTTGTTTTTGGGGGGAGGGGTGGGAGGGTGGGGTGGGGTTTGGTGTTTGAATTTGGTTGTTTGAATTTTAAAGCATGTCCTTATGATTCTGCCAATCATCTATGAAAAACTCTATGAATGACCTCAGTGTCTGTTTAGAATGGATTCCCTTTCCACGTCTGCTTCGATCAATTTGATCATCTCTTTCCATCTTTTGGTTTTCTTGGGTAAAAGTTTGTCCGGTTTGTTGATTTTTTTTTTTTTCCCCTCAAAGAAGCAGCTCTTAGTTTTCATTGGTTTTTGGTGGTTGTTACTGTTTGTTTGACTCTAGGCCTGAGTTGGACTATTTCTTGCCATGTATTCTTTTTCTTCTTCTTCTTCTTCTTCTTCTTCTTCTTCTTCTTCTTCTTCTTCTTCTTCTTCTTCTTCCTTCTTCCTCCTCCTCCTCTTCCTCCTCCTCCTTCTCCTTTTTATAGAGCTGTCAGGTGTATCATGCTGTTATCACTGTAAAATCCAGGTTTTTGATGGAAGCACTTAGAGCTATGAACCTGCCTCTGAGAACTGTGTTCACTGTGTCCCTTAGGCTTGGGTATATTATGTTTTCATTTTCATTCGATTCTGAAAAGTTTTTAATTTCCTTTTATTTTTAATTTCTTCCTCGATTCAGTTTTCATTCATCAGTGAGTTGTTCAGTGTCCACTAAGTTTGTTTGCTTTCTGACTTTTTTTGTTGTTGTCGATCTTTAACTGTAATCTGTGGTGGTCAGATAGGTTGCAGGGTGTTATTTCAGTTATTTTTCAAAAGTGTTGAGACTTGCTCTGTGTTCTGGTATGTTGTCAGTCCAGGAGAAGGTTCCATGAGCTGCTGAGAAGAAGGTGTATTCTTTCATGTTTGGCTGGAATGTTCTGTGTATGCCTGTTATGTCCATTTGACCTATGATGATGTTTAACTCCAGCACTTGTCTGTTTAGTTTTTGTCTGGACAAGCTGTCTGTTGTCAGGAGTGGAGCATTGAAGTCACCTACTATCTCACCTTGTGAAGGTCCATATGTGATTTTAAGCTGTGAGAGTGTTTCTTTTGTGCACTTGGATGTCCTTGTGTTTGGTGCATAAATGTTTAGAACTGCAATATCCAATTTTTCCCTTTTGATGAGTATGTAGTGTCTGATTAGTTTGACTTGAAATCTATTTTGTCACATATTAAAGTGGCTACACCTGCTTGTTTCTTGGGTCCATTTGCTTGGACTACCTTTTTCCTTCCTTGTACTCTATGGTAATGTCTGTCCTTCAGGGTAAGGTCCATCATTCCACGGATGCAGCAGAAATGCTGACCCTGTTTTCTAATCCTGTCTGCTAGTCTGTGTCTTTTTATTGGGGAATTGAGACTATTGATCTTGGGAGTAGTCTATGAACAGTGTTTATTCCTGTTATTTTTTCTTTTTGTTGTGGAGTTGCTCTCCCCCCCCATTTTTGATTTACTGTTGTGGGATTATTTAATTCCTTGTGTCCTCTTGTGTGTAGTCCAGTGGTTCTCAACCTCTGGGTTGAAACCTCTTTGGGAGCTGTCTGTCAGATATTCTGTGTATCAGATATTTACATTATGATTCATAACAGTAGAACAGGTGTGACCATGCAGATGCTGGGATTACAGGTGTGACCATGTAGGTGCTAGGGTTATAGGTGTGGGCCATGCAGGTTCTGGGGTTACAGGTGTAGGCCATGAAGGTGCTGGGGTTACAGTTGTGGCCTCTGCAGGTGCTGGGTTACAGGTGTGGGTCATGCAGGTGCTGGGGTTACAGGTGTGGCCCATGCAGGTGCTGGGTTACATATGTGGGCCATGCAGGTGTTGGGGTTACAGGTGTGACCAAGGAGGTGCTGGGGTTACAGGTGTGGGCCATGAAGGTGCTGGGGTTACAGTTGTGGCCTCTGCAGGTGCTGGGTTACAGGTGTGGGCCATATAGGTGCTGTGTTACAGGTGTGACCTTGCAGATGCTGGGGTTACAGGTGTGACCAAGGAGGTGCTGGGGTTACAGGTGTGGGCCATGAAGGTGCTGGGGTTACAGTTGTGGCCTTTGCAGGTGCTGGGTTACAGGTGTGGGTCATGCAGGTGCTGGGGTTACAAGTGTGGCCATGCAGGTGCTGGGGTTACAGGTGTGGGCCCCATCCTTGGCCTCTCCTTGAATCTTTCATTTCAGTAGGAGAGCAAGCATTTTCTAGTTAATTGTTTTTGATACAAGTAGTATAATGAAAACACAAAATTTGTTATTCTAATTTTTTTTTCACATAGGACCTCCATATATAGCCTCAGCTGGCTTGGGACTTAGAATCCTCCTGTCTCAATTTCCTGAGTAGGTGTGGGTGTGGGTGTGTGCCACAAAGCCTGACTTGACAATTCTGACTTTGTACTCTGTTTTTTAGAGAAGAACCAAAGATGATACTTGGAAAGCAGAAGACCTCAGAAGACACCTTAAGGTAATACATTTTAAAGACTTATTTGGGATTCACTCGAACCCTTCATGGGCTTTTGCGCAGTGCTACCAGGCTCACAACCCTGCCTAACTTTGGTTACAAGTTCGTTTCAGAGGCATTTGTGACTCAGAGATGAAGCCGTCTGTTTACTACTTGTGGAACTATTATGGGTTATGGTCCTCTCTGGGGCTGAGGTGTCCTGTTTGTTAGCCCAGTCTGGTAGCCCCACAGGCATAATTTTTGTGGTTGAGGTTTAGTCTTCTGAAAGTTTATAATAAAGGTTTAATTAATTAACTTTAAGCGGAGTCTCACTCTGTAGTCCAGGCTGGCTTTGAAATGAAGTGACCGTGATCTTCCTGTCCCATTCTCCTGAGCACGGGGATCACAGTTGCTGCCACATCTGGCTTTGTTATAACTGACACAGGGTCTCACTGTGTAGCCCTGCCTGGCCTGAGACTTATACAAACCAGACTGACCCTGAACTCCCAGAAATCTACCTGCTTCTGCCTCCTGAGCACTGTGATCAAAGGCGTGTCTACCATGCCCAGCTGGCTTCATTCTTTATGTAGTAACCAAGTGTTTCTTGCCTCAACAACTTTAAAACATAGCTTTATTATCTCTTTCTATCATAGGTTGTATTTTATGGATGGCATTTCAGGTTTGATTTGTCAGTAAACATGAACATCTCTGATACACGGGGTGGTTGCCACATAGCATGTTTGTAGAAATGTGAAATAGGACTCCAGTGAGTATTCTAAGAATCTTCAGCCAGCTCCACCTTCCGTCTCGGTGGACTGAGAAAGCAGCTGCCGCCAGTGGTTTTCGAAAAGTGTTTTAGATGAGTCTCTCTGTCCAGATAGTGAAGTCAGTGCACGTGTGCTTTCATGGTCAAGGAAGATCTTCCTTGTGTGTTTTAGGCTGTACAATCAGGTAGTCCCAAGGAAGACAAGAAACTCAGGGAAAAGAAGGCGCACAAGGAGTCAGAACTGGGCCTTCTTGAACACAGAGAACACAAGAGCAGGGACCCAGACCGAGAGGCCCGACACAAGGAGAGGATTGCTGAGAGAGACCTCTACACCTTTACAGAACATCCTCGTGGGGAGAGAGACCGGGAGAAGCACAAGGAAAGGCGGAAAGAGGCGAAAGACCGCGAGAAAGACAAGCTGAAAGAGAGACACCGAGAGCAAGATGCAGAGAAGGCTCACAGTCGAGGCAAAGACCGAGAGAGAGAGAAAGACAGAAGGGCCAGGAAAGAAGAGCTCAGGCAGACCATTGCCTACCATGACCTCCTGGGTCGAGAGGCTCGAGAGGCACGAGAGGCGCGAGAGGCGCGTAGCCGGCAGATGCTGGAGAGAGTGGAAAAGAAGGCCCACGCAGGTGTGTCTCTGCTTTAGGGATCGATTCCACCTGCAGTATCTCCCTGGCTGCTTGTTAGTTCCTTAGCTGTGTGTCTCTTGCTCCACTGATGTATTGAGTGTGTGCAGCCAGGGGACAACTTTCAGGAGTAGGTTTTTGCCTTCCACATTGCTCAGATGGGGGTCTCTCTGTCTGCACATTATGTACTTCAGGCTAGCTGCCCTGAGAGGTCCTGGCTGGTGCTCATCTCTCTACCTCTTATCCTGCTGTGTGCAACCGAATCCGGCTCTGACATGAGCTCTGGGGTTCCTCAGACTCGACTGGCTAGTGCCTTTACTCACTGAGCCATGCTATTGGCCTGTTTTTGTTTAGAAGTTCTCACTGTTTGGAGAGTTTCCCCATTCAGTCCATCATTTATTTTCCTTCAGGTTTTCATGGATGCGTAGCTTCAGATTTGAAGTCACTCTTTCCTATTTTCTGTGTTTGTGATCATGACTTTTTTTTTTTTAAATTCAGTCAGCAACGGAACCATTTTTGTAGCATTTACTACAAATGCTACAAAAAAGTGTTTTTACTTTTGAAACTTTTAAAAGTTTGTTATCTCAGCCAATCTTAGTTTCTTTGAATACGCAAAAAGAAAGCATTTTAATACAAGTGTTAGTTTTATTGCAGTGTGGAGATTTGGGGATCAAACCAAGAGCTGTTGTACATGATAGGCAAGGTGGCTACCATTGACCTAAAGCTCCGCTCCTGGTATTTTCTTAATTGTAAGCTAATGTTGCCTCTCGGCGACAGCTGGTTTTCCTGTACTGGGTGTCAGCAGCACCCGGTGGCTAACCAGCCTCACCCGTGGCTTCTCATGCAGGCTATGTTGAGCCCCATTTCCCCGCCTCTGTTGCCCAGCAAGCTTCAACTTCCTTTCCTGTGTCATTTGTGAGGTCTCCCTCCACTTTGGGGGACACAGACATTTGCCAGCTTGTCTCAGTAACAAATTGGGAGGGGGAAGACTTGTATCTGTTCTTTGCCTGCCATGTTCATTCACCTTCCACTTTAAGTACTTGTTACTCTTGAATTTTGAGACTGTGCCTTAGTTGAAGAACATTAAAATCAAGTTAATGGATGAACGTTTTGTGTACAATCATGAACTGTACAGTATCATCAGGTAGCCTTTTTGACAAGGTAAAGTCTGGGAACATTAAACTGTGTTGTTGCATTTTTTTAGCAAGTAAAATACGAACTGAGGAGAAAGAAAGGAGAGATGAAGATTCTGAAAGAGGAGATGAAGACAGAGAAAGAAGATACCGAGAGAGAAAGGTACACAGGGTGGAGCCTGAGGGAAGGCTTGCCATTGTACATGTTTGTAGGGGACAGTGTGACATTTCAATATGTACATATAGTGTTTAATCTCAATAATAGGGTGACTGGTATCTCTATCACTTAAGATATTTTGTCTTAGTTAGGGTTAATATTGTTGTGATGACCAAAAGCCACTTGGTGAGGAAAGGGTTTATTCAGCTTACACTTCCACATCACAGTCCATCATAAGGGAAGTCAGGACAGGAACCTGGAGGTAGAAGCCATGGAGGGTGCTGCTGACTGGCTTCTTCATCATGGCTTGCTCAGTCTGCTTTCTTTTAGAACCCGGGACCACCAGCCCAGGGATTGTACCACCCACAATGGACTGGGTCTTCTCCCATCAATCACTAAAAAGAAAATGCTCTACAGTCAGATCATTTATTTATTTATTTAACAGAGACAGGGTTTCTCTGTGTGGCTTTGGAGCCTATCCTAGAACTTGCTCTGTAGACCAGGCTGGCCTTGAACTCACAGAGCTCCGCCTCCTCTGCCTTCTGAGTGCTGGGTACAGTCAGATCTTATGGAGGCACTTTCTCAGTTGAGGTTCCTTCCTTTCAGATGACTCCATCTTGTGTCAAGTTGATATAAAAGTAGCTGAAATAGCACCTCTTTGTGTTTATATGACCCTGGGCTGAAGAACATTAGAGGGGTCCCTCCTGTGCCCTGCTAAGCGCACTGCCATCAATTACCAGTGGTGTAGCACTTTCTAGCAGCAAGTCTTGGTATACTTTAAAATGTTAACTCTCTGCTTTGCATTTATGATGCTATTTTTAAAACTTGATTTGATGAATCTTTTATTTTTATAAGTAAGTGCAAATTGTGATATAGAAAAGTCCGTGCTTAAAGGAAAAGAAAAGTCCGTGCTTTGGCAGACAGAATGCTTCACAAATCAGCTTGTAACTCCACAGTGTTGTAAATGGTTTTGCTATGGGTCTATAAAGGTCTGTTAGCGTTTTAATCCCCATAGTTTATTTGACAAGTGATCTCAGGTACTGACCTGCCTTTGAAACTGCAGGGCTGAGCCAGAACCCCCTAATTTCTCTAGAATTGCTGTCCTGGCAGAGACATAGGCTGGGTAGAGCTGAGGAGAACCAAGGAAGGAGATTACAGACTCTTGAGTGTCCCCAGGTTGGGTGCAAGAACACAGAGAACCAAGGCGTGGTGTGGAGGTGAGGGTGTGAGTGTAGGGACCCTTGGCTGGGCTGGATCAAGTCAGGTTTGCTCAGGGTCAGCCCTGAGGGCTCCAAGATGGAATCAGAGCTCGGATACCGTCATAATAACTGCTGTCATGAGTGACTTGCTGAACTTTGGTGGTGGTGTTGGGATAAAGTGATGACTAAATGATAACCTTTTTAAAGACATTTTCTTTTTATGTTTTTGGTATCGCTCCTTGTCTGGGTAGGAATGAGGAACATTTAAGGAAAGTGACAAAACATGTCACTGCATGGAGACAGCTAGGGACTGGCTTCCTGGAGAAGTCACAAGACTTGGCAGCAGGGCCTACGGGACTGTGGCGCTAAAGGCAAAGGACACATTAAGGATGTGGTGGATCAAGAAAGAGGCAAATTCTGTTAGCTTTGCTGTGTGTCTGCATCGGTTTCCTGTCTCTGTAACAGTCTGTGTAACAGGAAATTCGTATGTCAGAAAGAAAGGACTGCCTTTCATCCATAGCGTTGGAACTTCCAGCCCATGACCCTTAGGCCCTGTTATGTCGGGAGGTGGCGTGTTGTGGAATGCATGGTGAGGCAAAGCCACTTAGGTCCCAAGTCAGGGAACAGAGGAAGAGGGAGGAATAGGAAGACACGAGGCCCACAATCTCCTCAGTCTTCTGACAGGGCTGCACCTCCTGCCCGTGCACGGAACCTCCCAGCAGAGACCCTGGGGACGGTGCCGTGACCCCTTCACGTGATACACACAGACGACAGTGCTCGTGACCCCTTCACGTGATACACACAGACAGTGCCGTGACCCCTTCACGTGATACACACAGACAGTGCCGTGACCCCTTCACGTGATACACACAGACAGTGCCGTGACCCCTTCACGTGATACACACAGACAGTGCCGTGACCCCTTCACGTGATACACACAGACAGTGCCGTGACCCCTTCACGTGATACACACAGACAGTGCCGTGACCCCTTCACGTGATACACACAGACAGTGCCGTGACCCCTTCACGTGATACACACAGACAGTGCCCGTGACCCCTTCACGTGATACACACACACAGTGCCCGTGACCCCTTCACGTGATACACACAGACAGTGCCCGTGACCCCTTCACGTGATACACACAGACAGTGCCCGTGACCCCTTCACGTGATACACACACACAGTGCCCGTGACCCCTTCACGTGATACACACACACAGTGCCCGTGACCCCTTCACGTGATACACACGGACAGTTTTGCTCACGCAGCTCTCATGTTGCTTTCAAAGCTGCAGTATGGAGACAGTAAAGAGAACCCTCTCAACTATTGGCTGTACAAAGAGGAGAGTGAAAAGCGGCACAGGAAGGTGAAGGATGCAGATCGGGAGAAGCGACGCCGAGAGAGGAGCAGCACAAGGGAGAAAAGGGAGAAACACTCCAGAGAGAAGGGGAGCTCGGTGTGTGACCGGGATGGGGAAGACAGACACCGAGAGAAGCGGCACAAGGATGGACTTCATCACGATGAGGACAGGCGCCGAAGTCACTCAGATAAAAAAGAGAGATCGGGGAAAGACGAGCACAAGAGAAGAGAAGCAAAGGTACAGTTTTTCCACGGCCACCGCCGTTACAGTTTTCCTCCGGTTGGCAGCTGGGAAGGTTGCTCCGTGTAGACTAACAGTGTTACAGTGCTGGTTTTTGTTCCTGTAACAGAACACCTGACATGAACAAGTTGAGGGAGGACAGATTTATTTGGTCTCCTGTTTTCAGAGATTCCAGTCCATTGTGGCAGGGAGACTCTTCTCTAGTCTGCGACGGTGCCACCCACATTTATTCCTTTTCCCTGGTTGATCCTAACTCCTTGGACGCATCTTCATGACGCAGTCAGAGGTGTGCTTTGTAAATACTGCAGGAGCTTCTCTGTTTAATCAAGTTGACATAGTTAACCATCAAAATGGTTATGAGATATGAAAGTATGATAACTCAATACTTTAAAACCAATAGAGGGAGATTACCAGTCTTTTTAAAAGTGTGAACGCATCATTTAGCTTCATGGTAAATGCCCCTCCCCCCCAGATATGCGGTTTCACGATGCTGTCTGTGCTGGTTGGTGGAAAGCTCCTGAGCCCCAGGGTCCTCCCGCCTTAGTCTTCCAGTCAACATAGGTTACTTGTGTTTGCTTCACAACCAGCTGTTCCTGCGCATTTAACAGAAAATTAAAAACATATTAAAATTTGAAATTTAGCATTAAAAAGGAAGCTGATACTTTAAAAGGGGAAATTAAGTGATCAAGTTATGAAAGTTTGAATCAGAATTGTTAGTTTACAAAAACGAATAGAAATGTATAGATACTGATTCTTCCTATGTATATTTGACTTCATTACTGTAGTTGCTTAATGTCTTCTGAGACCCTCTGTAGGGACTTCTGTTCTTGTACACACACTCTATTTTTATAGAGTACACGGCTCTGTTTTTATAGAACCTGAAACAATTGTCCTGTATATTCTGCATATAATGTTCACTGCAGAATATAGGCATCTCTCAAACATTATTTGTTCATAGTGAAAGCTTATAGGCCCTTTAGCTTTTAAAAATGTGTAGTGTGTTCTCACGAGGGTATCTCTTGCAATCATTCCAAGTTGTCTCAGCAGCACCATGCAAACCCTAGAAGACATGGATTCCTGTTATATCTGCAACAGTTAAGTACATAATTTAATTTATTCACTTCATGTTTGACTTTGGCTTCTAGGAACCTGAAAAGGTAGACAATGATTTAGAGGCTACTGATGGATATCTGGCCAATTTTGAAGATGATTTTGAAGTATGTATAAAATTTAAATTTTTCTCAGTTTAACAATGCATTTTTAATATTAGTGCATGTGTGTAATTTTTTTTTACAGGGTTTTTCTGTGTAGCCCTGGCTCTCCTGGAACTTGATCTGTAGACCAGGCTAGCCTTGAACTCAAAAATCTCCCTGCCTCTGCCTCCCATGTGCAAATTGACAATCCAGCAACATTAAAATCTCCCTTAGCTATTCGTGTTTTATTTTAAATTATGAATTGTGATGTTTTGTTGTATGTATTAACTCATTTGTTTGAAAGGTGCCCAAATCCTTCTTACTGTTTATAGGATTATGAAGATGACTTCGAGGTTTGTGATGGAGATGAAGACAGCAGTAATGAGCCTGACTCTAAAGAACAAGCTGAAGAACTTCCTCTAGCCCAGAAAAGGGAGATACAAGAAATCCAAAAGGCAATCAGTGCAGAGAATGAAAGGGTTGGAGAGCTTTCTCTGAAACGGTTTCAGAAGCAAGGTCGAACAGAGAGTGAGGAGCCCTGGACAGGTATGACAGGTGACGCTCAAAACTGGGAAACGTGTTCTGGGAGCCTTGTAGCCATTTGCTGAGAAGTCCTGTAAGGTGGGAAGACTTTACACTTGATACACCGGGTAACGCTTTGCTATGTGCCTCCTTGAGATCCACCTGTTGCACAAGTCGCGTGTTACGGTAAGGGCGGCTGTGACGTGTCCTTCATCGTCTCCCATGTACAACTATGCATATTGTCTTGCACTGTTAGCCTCTCGTGTAGCCCGTAGACACTTGTTCCTGTTCCCTTTGGTAATGTCTTCTTGAATTCTTACCAAGCAGCAGACACAGTTATTGTCAGGAAGATTGGGCTCTGTGTTAGCACAAGAGCTCCATGGGGCAGGTGACAGGTCTGGTTAGCCCCCACAGGGGCCCAAGGACATCCTAGGGAACAGAACAGAGGAGAGCCCTGCGAGGTGGCCAGTAGGCCCAGGGTGGCACTCACAGCATGTCAGGAAGCATATTGCCTGCCTGTTGAACTTTTTCCAGAGGAATTTCCTTAATGAAATTAGAATTAGAATTCTTGACATCTGGGCATGATAAATTATGAGAATGAGAGTAAATATTTTAAATCACTTAAAGGAAACATTTAATAAAATGGATGGAGGATTTGATTTTACCATTGAACTTAGCAGCCTCAGGGTTGTTTTTTTTTTTGTTTTGTTTTGTTTTTTTCTTTTTTTCCTCCCTCCGGAGCATTCACCTTTTTACTTTAAGGAAGCTCTTTTGAAAACTTTGTGTGTGTGTGTGTGTGTGTGTGTGTGTGTGTGTGTGTGTGGAGAGAGAGAGAGAGAGAGAGAGAGAGAGAGAGAGAGAGAGAGAGAGAGAATATGTGCTTGTGATGGTGTTTATGTTGTGGTCAGGACAACTTTCTTTAGGGTTGGTTCTCTCCTTTCATTTTGTGGGATGTGGGGATCACCTCAGGTTGCCAGGCTTGTTGGTGACTTTATTTGCTGTCACATCGGGTGGCCCTTGAGGAAGGTCCTAGGCTCCTCTTTGGCACATATAGCTACTTCCTTTTAGGGCATCATTAAGGGTCCCTTGAGCGTTAGCAGTGTGACTCTGAGAGAGCTGATCTGATAACTGTGACTGCAGTGGCCAGTGACTGAGTTGGGGGCAGGGCAGGGAGCACACACAGCCTGCCTATGCTGAACTGAAGGCATCCAGAGAGTTCATCAGGTCACTCAGAACAGCCTGCAAGTCAGTGCTTGCCAACTGTTGGTTTTGGAATTACTCGTTTAATAACTTAGAGACCACTGTAGGTAAGTGGAGTCTAGAAGGTGAAACCACAACGGAGGGTTAACTGTATATCTTTATTTTATTTTTTCACAGTGTTTGTAGGATATGAACAGAAAATTATATTTTACACATATTTGTAAATATTTTTAAAACTCTTACCAGCATGAATTTATCAATTTCAACTTAAAAATTACTGTGATTTTTATATATAACTGTAATTGTTTTATTTATTTATTTATTTATTTATTTATTTATTTATTTATTGCTTGAAGGAACTATTTCATTTTCACAAAACAGTTTTTCCCCCTTATGCAGAGGCAAATGATTCCATTTCCAGAGCCCCTGTTTGTGGGATTTTTGTGGATTTTGCGACAGCCTCGCATCGCCAGAAGAGTCGGAGTCAGGCCCTCAAGCAGAAGTAGGTGTACTGCGGAATTTGCCGCAGGTGTTTGTGTTTTACAGATGCTCTACTGTGGATGAAATCCAGGGCCCCGGGAACTCTAGGCAAGCGTTCTCCCACTGAGCTAATCTCAGCTGTAGCCTTGTGTTGTTAGTGCATTTAAATGTTCCTATCCTCAACATGATCCTAAAACTAGAGTTTCCCGTTTTCCGTTGTTGACTGTTTGGGTAAACTGTGTGGGGACTGAACCCGGTATTTTGTGTATTAGGCAAGCACTCTACCACTGAGCTATACCCCTAGCCTGGTCAATGCTTTAATTAGTGCTACAATTCTCTTTGTGTTTATCTATCATTCTGCTTACTGTGTACTTTTCTTTATGGTAGGGGCTCGCTGTCTAATGTCTGCAATAAATTCATGGATGACTGTTGTGATCTTAACCCAGGAGTCCTTGGTCTGTTTTGACTCCAGCAGAATCAGAACCAGGCATTTTAGATCTGATGGATGGAATCTTGCTAGGCAGATTGAGTTTGGCTTGTGTTGTATTGCGGCTCTGGTGGCACTGATCTCTTGGAATATAGTTAGAAGCCTCCATGACCCAACAACTTTTCTATTTTGTATACTTGTAAAACTGTCACCATGTACATGATATCAAGGTTTGCCAACAGCTTAAGCATGAATTAGACCCCTTTGAAGCATGGCTTTAATTAGCCTCTGAGTGCCTGGATGGCTGAACGTAGGGAAATATATCTCTAGGCAGCTCTGTGTGAGCTGAGAACCCTAGAATACTCATATATAAGTACAGTCTTCCAAATGAATTAAAAAATTTATAACACTGATCCTGGAGAGTCTAGGAGACCATAACTTTTAATTTTAGCCTCCTGCACGCTCAGGGATGTTGAATTGTATGGCTGCTGAGCAAGGCCTGGAGCCTCAGAGAAATGCTACAGGCAGGGAGAGAGGGTCAGGGAAGATGAGAGCTTTTTTTCCTCTCTTGCCTTCTTTCCCTAGTCTTTCACCAGATGGGCCTTGAATGACAGCAAGTCAACAGAAAGAAGCCGTGCTGCCAATACATGAATGAAATGTAACCTGTAAGTGGGTTGTGAGCATGGATTCATTCACTCACTCACAGAGATGAATGCTTCCCCGTGGAACAGATGGAATGTTAAGACAACAACAGTGTCCAGTGAGGGCATAGGATAGAATCCTGGCTGTAACAGTTTGACAGGACCTTTGAGAGGCAGTTTTCTAGAATGTATGGAATGCATCTACCCAATGACAGATACCATTGAGCAGCATACAGTTGTCCAGTTGTCAGAGCAACATTCCTTTTTGAACTAGTGAGCTTCAAAGGATTGGCGCAGGACTCTGGCTTGTTTCTATAATGAACAGTTTGTACCAAAAACAAACAAACAAACAAAAAAACTTCAGCTACAAACAACTGTAAAAATTGGATCTAAAACACAGTAGTAAAAGAAAAGTGTTGTTGTATTATAAATCCCAGTGAGGGCGTGTGTGAATTCATACCTTTCAGGATGCTGCTTTTAGAAATTATAGAAATACTAAGAGTCAGGAGTAGTGAAGACATGATTGAAGGAGAAAAGATTAGTGGCTTCAAACTCAGATGCCAAAGTTAGTTACAAAACCCAGTGATCATGCGGTGTTGTTACATTTTGGTTGTGAGCGTAGCCTTTAACGGCTGAGCCAGCTCTCATGCTGTCTTCTTAGCACAAGAAGTCAGTCCTGTTGAGTACAGGGTGGGGAGCGTCGGCCATGGGACACCCTGCCCCTGACTGTGTGTGGCTGTTGTGTGGTAGCAGAGCCGGGATGGTTTTCTGTGGCTGATGCTAGAACAGCCAGATTAATGCATGGGCACAGTGAGCTGAGCCACCTGCCCAGAGAAGAGCTGGACGGCCAGGGGGTGTGGAGTGCTCTTCGGTGGCAGGGCCTTCACAGGGAGAAATTTTGGAGACAGAATTGAAGGTAGTGAGTAGGATGACAGAAAAGTGACAGCTGCCGTGAAGACTGTGAGTGTGAGCGCAGAAGGACAGGTGAGGAGAGACGTGAGAACAGAGGGCTGTGGTGCGGTGATGCTGGGAGGGTCATCCCCTCACACCAGCAATGTGGGAGCACTGGCAAGTGGAAGAGATAAAGACACCTTTCTTGCTCAGCTTGCTTTAGACTCTGGGACAGCCAATGTAAAGGTTGGGTCCAGGGCCCATCAGTATTGGAGTGTACTGGCATCTTGCTTTGCCAGTGGCCACATCCTAGGGCTGTGACTTCAGGTTAGCAGATGTGACCCCTTATAAGGAAGAGGAGGGCTGGCTCACTCTCTCTTGGGTTGTGGTGAGAGCATCAGAAGGGCAGAGACTGCATCTTTAGGACTGGCTATTTGCTATTAATGGTGTAAGTGCTTCCCTAATAAATAACTGTTTATCATTTATCTTGGGTCTTGTGGACTCATTTAAGCCCTGCCTCCAATTGGCGCCCAATGTGGGACTCGAACCCATGCCTCTGGGATGTGGCCACTACCACAAGTTCACTGGCGAAGCAAGATGCTATTACATTAGGGTGTCTGGGAAAAAAAAGAGAAGCCAATAAAATGGTTGGTAAAGAAGACTGTGAGGCAGTAAGGGGAAACTGAGTGATGGTTGTTTGGATGTCTAGTATCTGGGATCACTGGTGTCAGAGGCCATTTCCTGTGGGAAGAGCCTCCAGTGGGAAGATTATGTAGACTGCAAACCTGGCTGTCACAGTGGCTGCTAGTACAGAAATGTCACCCTGCTAACCAACATGCTAAATCCTGAAAAGAGGTGAATTTGCTGGTCAGGAAAATTCTGATATACGTATGTTGCTACTTTACCCACCTCAGTGGACCAATCACACATCTGGTTCATGATATATTCACACCGTTACTTTATGACTGTTTTTGTATAGTTTTTTTCCCCTTTTCTGCTGGGGCTGTAATGAAGGGTCTCCCTCCTTTAAGTTAAGAAAACATTTGGCCACCGAGTTACACCCTCAGCTTCTGTTTGATTATTAGAATTGATTATTGAGTACTTAGACTTACTCTAATTACTTCCATGTGCCCCTAAAATACACCATTCTGCATGTCCCTGAGTAAATTATTCAATTTAATTTTTGTTTCCAATCTGTTTTAAAGGACACGAAGTACAAAGCTGCTCCGGCTTATTGATTTAGACTATTCGTTCACTTTTTCTCTCTTGGACCTACCACCAGTAAATGAGTATGACATGTATATTAGGAACTTCGGGAAAAAAAATACCAAGCAGGTTAGTAAAAGATGTGTTATCTAATGGAAGCATAGTGTAAGTGTGTGCCATGTGTCTGTTCTAGAATATTCGAAATGGTCTCTAAAGGCTGTAGTTGAAAGGGTGTCCTTTATAACTTGGTACTCATAAACTCAAAGGATGCAAAGTCTAGTGATAGCCTGTTGGGCATGATGAACAATTGATTCAGAGGACAGTGTCTCAGTTTCTTTGCTGGTCTTTCTGATAAAACACCCTGACAAAAGCAGCTTAGGGAAGAAAGAATTTATTTTAGTTCACAAGTTCAGAGAGGTCTCAGCAACAGGAGCCCGAGCTAACATTAGCTACAGTCAGAAGGGTAAAAGAACAGATGGGTACATGGCTGTGCTCAGCTCATGCTCCCTCTTTTTATACAGCCCAGAACACAAGCCCAGGGAACTGTGTCACCCACCTTTAGGAGGATCCCCCCACATCAATTAATGTTCAGGAAAGCTCCCCACAGGCCAACCTTATCCCAACCCCCAGAATGCTTACGTTAAAATTTTTTTTAAAGTTTACTGGCTATTTAAAAAAATGGTGGTTGCTTTTATCTTCAGAAATGGCAAACTGCTCTAAAATTGAGGCTCAGTGTTAATTCTGACCCTCCTTTTTCTCTAAGGCATATGTTCAGTACAATGACGATAACGTTGAGAGAGACATTCAGACAGAGGATGTAGAAACCAGGGAAGTGTGGACCCAGCACCCCGGAGAAGGCACGGTTGTATCTGGAGGTAACGGTGGACTCTTGAGTGTGGGATGTCTACTCTCTTTACAGTAGGCTCTGCTTTGTTTTTATTTAATTCCTTTTTCTTGTGTGTTTCTTTGTGAAGTGGTTGTCACTGTATGACTGTGGAAGCATCCTTTCAATATACCTTTGGAGAAACAAATTAGTTCATGTTAATGAGTGAGGTTAGAGCTATTGAATCACAGGGAATCACTACACTGGCCTGGAACCATGGTCTGGCTCCTGACGTGGACGAGTAATGTCATGGGGATGGTACAGTATTCCAAATAGGACAGACTCTGTTCTGAGACTTGGATAGCTTGTTGTCATCAGTACAGATTTTTCACTTTTTAAGCGTAATTTGAAGATGTATTCCGTCAGTGCAGATCAGAGGTTTCTATGTGCCTCCTTCCAGATGGATTATACATTACTGTTTTTGTTTTTTTTTGTTTTTTGTTTTGTTTTGTTTTGTTTTTTGCCTTAAGGAATTGTCTCTATACTGCAAGGAATATATCCTCAAGTAGACCTCACCATAAGAAAGCTCTGGGCATGATGTTGTATGTTTCTCGTCTGTAGCTGCTTGACTCGTAACCCTAAAACCAGCACCAGCCAGTTTTCCTTTACTGCATTCCTTGAGACAGTTGCCTTGAGTCGGCTCATGAGCAATGAAACTGCAGACAACCGCAAATAGAAAGTGTATGCAGTCTGCTGACTTTTCCTGAGATTCTCAGTATTTGCAGAACTGCTTTAGATGCTGTGATTTGTAGAGCGTAACCATTTTGGAGTCGATTCTATTAACTCAATAAACCTGTATTTTGTTGCAGGGAGTGAAGAAAAAGACCTCTCTGATGTCACAGTTGTACCAAAGATTGACACGCCACGGTTGTCCAGCTTTCTCCGGGCAGCGTGCCAGGTACATCCTGCGTGGCGTGTCCTCTTCTGTGTCAGTGCTTCAGGGTTCACTGTTTTCGGAATAGAGCTACTGAGATCTTGGAGCGCTGTGTGTCAGAATCAGCCCTTCACTTCCAAGAATTATTTTCTTACAGATTATCAGTAATACATTTTGTTAGGTCCTTGTATGCAAAACGACATTAGGTAAATATCACTGAAAATTATGTGGTTTTTTAGGCTGTATACTTTATTAATTTCCTACAGTTGAAAATAATTACAGGCTCTTAAGTCAACACGTTAAGCTGGCAAAACAAGTGTAAATCTATACAGTATTTGTAAGTAAACTCCAGATTTTAACAGCTGGCTACAGGAAATTTCCAAGTATGTAGTTGTGAGGCCCCAAGCCCTGCAGTAGATGTTTCCTGGCTCCTCCTTTTCTCATCATTCCCCTGATCATTTTGAAACTAACCCTATTCATCAGAACTTTTATTCCATATATACTTCAGTATAAATATCTAAAAGAGAAAGATCTTTTGTTGGTATAAAAACACAACTTTCACCTCAAAGATAATAATCTATTCTAGAGCCAAATATGAGTGACCTTGACCTGGGCACATGGATTTAGGTTACCCTAAATACCACATTTCAACATGGTAAACAGTCTGATGACGTTTTTATAGTTAGAGAACAAAAGAAAGTTCTAAACCAAAGCTGTGTTCAGATCCACTGTGAGAACCGTGGGTTGAAGGGCTACAGCAGACGGGGAGGTCTGTGCTGTAGGCCTCAGATGCTGTGGCGACACTCTTCATCTTTGAGGGTCATAAGGACAGGCACAGAGGTGGGCTAAAGACAGCCTGAGGTAATTTGGCTGTGGACTAGTAATAGTCCAAGTCTCCACAACCACAGAAGTTTTTTTTTAACACAGATAGGAGCTGCAAACATTGGTAATTTCCAATATATTAAGATATGAAGTTGATATTCTAATGTCTGTGTTGTCTCTAACTCTTTATATAAATTTAGAATTTAAATATGGAGCAGAAATAAACAGCTTAATAGTGTTAAGCCTTGACAGGTTGATTTGGATCAAGCCTGTCCATCAGATTCTCTCTCTTTTTTTTAAATTTTTTTATTTATTAGTTCTAGTTAGGGAACAAGCTTGTTTCACATGTAAATCCCTTCTCCCTCTCCCTCCCCTCACCCCCATCCCTCCTCCCCCACCCCCATCCTACCCCCCAACCCATTCACCTACCACTCCCTAGGCAGGGTAGGGCCCTCAACAAAGTCCACCAAATCCTCCTGTGCCATCCGATTCTCTTATGACTATCTGCCAATTCCTTTGCCTCAGTGCCTCAGTTATAGGACTAGGCTTCTGTTTTAGTATAAAGTTTTTGGAACTAATAAAGAGAGAGTCCTTGTGTCCAGTGCAGTGTAGAGGGAGATAGTGTGGAGAGGAGAACAGGTAATGACAGAGTAGGAGCCAGGTCCAGCCTTTATCTCACCGGCTTCTTTTGTGCTCACCACACCTCTGTCCAGCATAAACACAACCCTGCCAGTCTTCACTTCCCATCTGCTGCTCGTCTCCAAGTCTCTACGCATTCTAGAGACAAACGTTAGGTCGGTTTCAGACATTTGGCGCTTCTTAGGATGCAGCGGGTGATGGTTACCGTTTCTGCGTACTTAGTGCCTTTTGGTTTGAGGGTGTTAGATATTCAGACTCCCTTCCCCCTCTGAAAATTTAACATCATATTTATTGAAGGAAACAATGTGTAAGATGAAATAATGGCATCCTATGGCATTACATTAGTGTACTGATATGGTGGGACCAAGCATTTGTTTGCAAAACTGGAATCTACAAAAGGTAATTTTTAAAGGAAAGATAGCCTACTGTTAGCATTTTAAGAAAGATGGTTTGTCTTTGAGATGGTTTTTCTTTTTGGATTTTTAAAAACTTACTTTTATTTTATGTGTATGGGTGTGTTGCTTGCCTGTATATCTGTGCACATTATGTGTGCACTGTGGTCCTGCAGAGGCCAGAAGAGACCCTGGGCTTCAGTAACAGGTGGTTGTAGGGGTTGGGAATTGAACCCTGGTCCCTGCAAGAGAGCTCTCTTAACTGCTGAGCCATCTCTCCAGCCCCTGCTCACTTGTCTTTCAAAGGTGGTTGCTGTTTTGCTTGAAGAGGACCGTTTGACCGCTGGACCCAGCTGGAATCCCCGGGCTCAAGACAAAGCTCTGAGCATCAGTGACAGCTCCTCCCAACTGAACACGAACCTGCCGTTCCTTCAGGGTAAAAGGCCTTTCCTGCTGTGGGTTTATAGGCAAATACAAGCATTTATATTGAAATAATGACCACTAATGCTACTCATGTCTAATGTGATGAGGTTTATTGAGTATAAAACAGAGAAAGACTCAGTGGCTACAGAATTACAAGTGAATGGTGAGGATTCTTTTCTTAAATGTGTGTGTTAAATTTATGATTTTCATGAGTTGATTAGAAGAGGGCTGACAGCAGTTTAAATTAGTGAAATTATTTAGTAAATGGAGGATGAGATTGTCTATGTTTGTTTTAAGTCTTGTAATTCTTTTCAGGAAGTTACTCAGAGAATACACAGCTGTGAAAATGGCAAACAGATAAAGCATATGATGTCAGAGTATTTAAGTCAGTTTAAACAAACTGTATTTGCAAGGCCAGATTTGAATTTTTATCTTTGTTTGTTTATTGGTTTTTCGAGATAGGGTTTCTCTGTGTAGCTCTGTAGACCAGGCTGGCCTCGAACTCACAGAGATCCACCTGCCTCTGTCTCCCGAGTGCTGGGATTAAAGCCTGGCTTCTATTTATTTACTTACTTACTTACTTACTTACTTACTTACACACACACACACACACACACACACACACATATGTATTCATTCATTTGTTCATTTATTCAGAGTCAGTGTCTCAGTTGTTAGGCTGGCTTTGAATTCCTGAGTCTCCTACCTTGGTTTCCCTGGATTATAAACACACAAGGATGGGTCCAAACACAGCTTCCTCTTCTCTCATGCCAGCTGCAGTGCAGAGACACGTTTCCCAGCTGCTGCTTGCAGGCTTGAGCCAATAGTCCGAGCGCTGCCAGCATGCCATGAACTAAGCTGCAAGGCAGATTTAAGCTTTGCTCAGGTAGACAGAAAAGATTACAGATGCGCAGTAAAGACAGATAGGAAAAACCCCTCTAAATGGGTTATGGTTTATAATGTTTAAAAATGTGCATAGGCTTGGGGGAGAAAACAGAAATGATAAAGACAGCCATAAAAACAAAAATAGTTTAAAAATAACCAAGTCTTTAAAAAAGGAATAGAGTAATAAAAAAATATAATAGGCCATGTAAAAATGAGAAATACACAGAGAGTCTGGATTCTTTGTTTTTGTGTTGTCTTTAGATTTGACAGCTGCTTTTGTTACATAAAGTTTTTACTAAGTTAAAGTTAAAACCTCCCTTTTTAATTAGACATAAAGGGGGAATGTGGAAGATTCCTTTACACTGTGTGAATATATGCCACTGTGATTGGTTTAACAAAGAAGATGACCCCACACACACAAAATAAGTAAACTTAAAAAAGAGACAAGAAACCTTTTGGTGTCAATAAAAAATAGAAACCAGGGCAAGGTGGTGGTGGTGGTGGCGGCGGCGGCACACGCCTTTAGTCTGAGCACTTGGGAGGCAGAGGCAGGTGGATCTCTGTGAGTTTGAGGCCAGCCTGGTCTACAGAGTGAGTGCCAGGACAGATTCCAAAGCTACAGAGAAACCCTGTCTTGAAAAACAAAAAACAAAACAACTCCCCCCTCAAAAAAATAGAAACCAGGACTGTGAAATGACTCAGTGGATAAAGACAGTTAATGCATAAGATTGGCAGTTTGAGCTCAATCCATGTACAAAGCCGAGGAGAGAACAGACTCCATACAGTTGTCCTCTGACTTGGACACATCACATGCTTACACACGCACAGTAGAAATCCAGTAACAGTGGTGGCAGAGTTTTGCTCATGAATGGTGATGGAGCACATGTAACCATTGTCATCCCTTTCCTGGAGGAGACACCCCTGAGGGGATGGCCGTGAGTGGCTGGGGGGATGGAGGAGGACAAGTTTGATCCCAGGTATGAATGGTGTGGGCTGTGGCTTCAGGATCTAGTAGGCATGGACAGTGGGTGTCAGGTCAGCAGGTGTAGTACTTAGCTAGTATTACAAAATTCTCACTAGCCTGTGGCTTAATATTCTACCGTTCCCTCAGTTTATCAGCAGCCCTGCTAATGAGAGCTGTAGGGAGAGCGGCTCTGCCACACAAGTCTTGGAATCCATCCTTGGAATGCTGCACCTGGCTTTGAATTAGAGTAGTTTCCTGTCTGGAGCTCTGAGGGCTGTTTTAAAGAGAACCCAGGTTCCTAACGACAGTGTCCCAGCTGCGTGCCATGGAAGGAAAACCACTCCAGTCATTTCCAGCTCAGTGCTGAGTTTCTAACTCCCATCCACTTGGTGTGAGGAGCCGGGAGATGAGAGGAAGTGGGCTGTGCCAGTCTACACTGCACCACAGAGAAGGGGGTTTCCTTTACTGAAGTCACAGGATCAGTGTGGACACAGAATTTAGGTTTATGCTGTAGGTGCTGATCAGAACCCCAGCTTTGGGCTTGAAAACCTAGCTTCTTAGGTGCAGTGTTTCCTAGCCTGGCGCTCAGTCCTTAGCACTGCACAACTGACTGTGGTATAGGTGGGGGCAGGGAGGTCAGAAGTTCAAGATCACCCTCAGTTAGAGCGAGTCCAGGGGACCAGCAATACGTGGTAACTTGTCTCAACAGCAGCACTACAGCCTTGGCCTTTATTCAGCACTGGACAGACCACGCCTGCTTCTTCATTGTGTTAGATCATATGTGAGTGTTCTGAAATGCTTTGAATGCTAAAGTGGAAAACGTTTTTTCTCATCTCCAGGTAGGAAAGTCTTCTGTTTGCATGCCTCTCGTGTTCAGAGACAGACTGTGGTCTCTGTTCATGACTTACCTGAAGAGCCATTTGCCCCGTCTCTGGACAGCCGGCACCTCCTCTGTGTGTGGGATATTTGGCAGCCTTCAGGGCCCCAGAAGGTTCTGATATGTGAGTCAAAGGTATACTCAGGAGGAGTCTGTGCTCGTTTTCCTGGAAGGTAGTCACTGACAGTAAACACATCAGGGAGAGGGCACAGAGACAACAGGCAGAATGAGGGCATAAGTCATGTCCTGTTTCTAGTGCCCTTGGCTCTCCATAGGTGACAAAACACATTTGTTCTGACTCTAGAAATTCACAGTGTAACAGTCATTTCCTACCGAGAAACCCAGGATTATCATGCAGGAGGCTCTTAGTCACCTACAAACTAGCAAACGAACACAGCTACGGCTTAATAAAAGCACAGTGAGGATGGCCAGGAGACTAGGATGTTTGGATCATGCTACTTAGATGTGTTCCGATACTCTAGATGTGTTCATATTCTTGTGATTTCTTTGTCTCTCTCTTTTTTTTCTTTCATCCTTTTTTTCCCCTGACTGGAAGCATGTCGTAACCCAGACTGGCCTTGAATTCTCTGTGCAGCTGAAGGTGACCTTGGACTTCTGATCTCCTGCCTCTACCCCTTCAGTGCAAAGGATTACAGATGTGCCCCACCGTGCATTGTGCAATTTCTTGAAATTGCTTGCAGTAAATGCCTTTGTCACTTACCAGATTCTCTGGTTCACTCACTGGCCATCTTCCCTTTCACAATACTTCATTTTAGATTGGCAAGTTCTATGTCTTTATGTCCTTGACCCACCCAGACCACCAGATCTCTTCCAAATATGTGAAGAACACCTTTTTGGGTGCTGATTTTAGAGTCTTGAAAGTAAGTTCGCAGTAAATGTCGTGAATAAAGTGTCAAACTCACCACTCATGAGGTCCAGACAGTTGCACCGAATGGGAAGGATCATTAGGCACATTTTTATGGACCCAGGTGTATACTAGATGCTGTACCTGTGGCCATATTCCTACAGAGCAGATTTCTTATTCTACTGTCCACACTTGGGCAACTGAATTTTATTTTATACGCACAGGTCTGTGTTCTCCTTAATCGCATCTTGCGGGGACCTTTGTCTGTGTCAGATACCACCCGTAGTGAACTACTTGCTGTGAGCGGGGCTGTCATATGTTTTTAGGCATTAACTTTCTGTGGTTTACTTTTCAGGTCACATGTTGCTGCTTTAGCCCTGTAAAAGCATTTCTGCTGTTTGCGGGAACAGAGCATGGTTCTGTGGTGCTTTGGGACCTACGAGAAGACTCCAGGATACACAACTATGTGAGACTGAGCAACTGTCTCTGGGCCTTCAGGACCCCAACGTTTTCCACCGGTCAGTGTTGTCTGTTCTCTGGAAAAGCCTGGGGAAGCTCTGAGGTTCTGACTCTGGACAAAGGAGGGAGGCGTTTGATAAACAGAGAGAACCAAGTCCATTCAAGTAGTCCTCATTGAGTGGCCAGCAAAGTTTGGGACCTTCTTTCATGTTAAATGAGCAGATTCTAAAACATTCCTAGCAAAATGAATTTTAGATTGGCTAGTTGATTGATTATGGGTTTGGGGACCAAACTCAAGGCCTAGGCAGGCGCTGTACACTGGGTTGCACCCCACTCCTAACTGGAGTGTCCTAAGCAGCCAAGGTATAGTAGTATGTATACACTACTGTGGCATTGCTAGTGAGCGCTTGGAGTGGTGACATAAAAAGAGTTACTTCTTGGGGGAAAGATCCTTAGTTTTAACTTAGATGGACAATTCATACCATTTTAGACCATAGCCGCCATGACAAAAAAATATATAAGCATTTCTTGGAGCTAGGAAGGTGACTCAGTGGGTAAAGTGTTTGTTGTGCAATGTGAGACCTGAGTTCAGATCCCCAGCATCCACGCCCCTTTTGGCTGGGTGAATTGGTACAAACCTATGACCTCACTGGGGAGTGGATACAGTTCACTGGCTAGCTAGTCTTACCAGCTGGCAAGCTCTAGATCAAGCTCTAGAGTTCTTTCTCTCCCTCTCCCTCTCCCTCCCCCCTCCCCCTCTCTCTCCCCCTCTCCCTCCCTCCCCCCCTCCCTCCTTCTTCCCCTTCTCCTTTCTTGCCTTTCTTTTTTGGTTTTTCAAGACAGGGTTTCTCTGTGTAAGAGCTCTGGCTGCTGTCCTGGAACTCATTCGGTAGACCAAGCTGTTGGTAAGGACCAATGGTTCTCAACCTGTAAGATGCAACCCCTTTGGGGATTGAACAATCATTTTGAAGGGTTGCATATCAGATAATCCTGCGTTTCAGATATTTACATTACAGTTTATAACAGAAGCAGAACTAGAGTTATGAAGTAGCAATGAAAATAATTTTATGGTTGAGGGGTCATCACACACCAGGAATGGTGGAATTAAAGGGTTTGCAGCATTAGGAAGGGTGAGAACCAATGAGAGACCTTGATCCCCCCCGCCCCCTTCAAATGGCATGGCTAATTATCAAGGAAGACACCTGATGTCAGCCCTCTGGTCTCTATGCGTAAATGCTTGTGTTTTGCACGTGTACCCACTCACACGTGTACACATATGAACACATCCATACACAAAGAGCAAGCATTTGCCACCTGTAGGACTTAAGTGTTTTACGTAGATGGGCTCATTTGATTCTCGTACTCGACCTCTGTCCCTGTTGCTGAGCAGTCACACGGACTGCTCAGGCAGGCCCTGCACCCAGAGCCATCCATCCATCTTACAGTTCGGCTTTGGCGCCACGGCCTTTGTTGACGGGCCTCTTCCTGTAGGAGCTGACGTCTCATTGGCTGAAAGAGCAAGCATAGACCTTCCTCCTCTTACTCACTCTTCACCAGTCTTGTCCCTTCCTGTTCACTCCAAGGAGCACACAGCACCGCTTGAGCACTTGGTATTCTCTGTTTTTCCGCCAGCCACCAGTCTGTTTTCTGCCATGATTCTGTCACCAGTCTGCTTTGTCCAGATGCTGGAGGACTAGAGTCATACTTGTCATTTGGGGTTCTTCACTGCCAAGAGTTGCAGAGTTCACCCCTCAGCTCCTGAGTGTTATCCCAGTGGGCCAGCTGTTGCTCTGTACCTCCCTACACTTATCCTCAGTGTGTGGCCATGTGCTTATTTATCAACTAAATATTCCTATTGGTGATGCCTGTTCAAATCTTTGCTCGCTTTTTATTGAATTGTCTTCTTAAGCGTGTTTGTTTGTTTTTGGAGAGAAGGTCTTGTTGTGGAGTCCTGGCTGTCTTCTGCTTGTAGAAGGCCTCTTACCTCAGCCTCTTGAGTGCTGAGATTGCAGGCATGATTTATGCCTTGCCAAATTGATTTCATGTTGTCATCGTGGTGCTAGAGATTGGACCCAGGACTTTGTATTTGCTGGGCCAAACTCTACAGATTGAGCTAAATCTCCAGCCTATTAAATCTTGAAGCTTTATACAGTCTGAATATATTTTACATGTATTTTATCATTCTCTGTATTCCTTTTGTAAGATTGTTTTAAATTTGGTGGGATTTGATATATCAATATTTTCTCTTATGACCATACTTTTAATGTCATTTAGTCAACTAAAAGTCACAGAGGTTGGGTTGTTGCTCATGTTTTCCTGAACTTTTGTAAGTTTAGGATTTACATTTAGGCCTGGTTTGTATGATGAGAGGTATTAGTCTATATGTTTATATATTATTATTGTTTTGTATATGAGTGTTGAAGTCATACTCAATGGCCATTTTCACTGCATTCAAAGCTTCTGTGGCTCTCATCAGTTTTATTATGTCTCAAGTGAGGGCCTCTCTGTTGTGTGTCCTTCCTGCCCTGACCATCATTGAACTTTTCATTGTCTTTGTAGTTTGTACATTTTCCAGAAAGTTCTATGGTTGGAATAAAGTGGAATAAACATTTTCAGATTGAGTAAGGGTAAGTGTGTAAGTTTCTATCATGTTTTGTTTGTTTTTTTTTAAAGTGGCTTAACAGCTAAATAATTTTCCTTTATGATCTGAAAATAAAAATACAGAACAAATGTTATTAATTTATCAATTATCTTATGGAAGGGATCATTTTGCCACTGTTTGTATTTAGGTTTTTGAGTGGATTTGTTTTCACCTCCTCTAGGTAAATACCAAATATGATGGCTAAATATTGATTTTCAATTGACAGGATCTAGGTTTACTTGTGAGATAATCCTCTAGGCATGGTAAGTAGGGATTATCTAGATTAAGTTAGCCTCTGGGTATGTCTGTGAGAGATTTTCTGGTTGGTCATGATGAGAAGGCTTACCTGTAGGTGGTGCCATTCTATGGGATGGGATTGCAGGCTGCATATATGAGAGAAGCAAGCAGTTTGAACATTGTTCTCTCTCTGCTTCCTGACTGCAGATGTAATGCTACTACACAAGGTCCCCGCCATGCTCTCCTGACACCATGACCTGTGTCCTAGAAACATGAGCAGAGTTAACCCTTTCTTTTCTTTCCTTCTCTTTTCTCTTTCTTTCTTTCTTTCTTTCTTTCTTTCTTTCTTTCTTTCTTTCTTTTGTTTTTTAAATTGGTTTTTTGAGACAGGATTTCTCTGTAACTGTAGCTTAAGCTACTCTTGTCAGGTATTTTGTCATACCAACATGTAAAGCCAGAGTCTCCTGGATTGCTCCGTGAAAAAATTGCCAACTGTCTTTCAAAGTGGCTATGCCATCTGCATTCCCACAGGCAGTCAGTGAGGCCTGCTGCTTCTCTATAGACTGCTGCCATACGTTTGGGTCATTCTGTGTACTTGCAGCGGTTCCTCGTGGTGTGACTTGCATTTCCCTTATGACATTTGGAGCAAGCAGTATTGTCTTTTCTTATGCCATCTGTGTGTTATTAAAGTGCCCATTAAGGTCTTCGCTCTACTTTAAAATTGCATGTTTTCTGGTAGTTGAGTTTTATATGTCTTGATAAAAGACTTTTATGAGGTAAGGGTTTTGCAAGTATTTTCTCCTATTCTGTGATTTTTTTTTTAAAGATTTTATTTATTTATTATGTATATAACATTCTGCTGCCATGTATGTCTGCACACCAGAAGAGGGCACCAGATCTCATTACAGATGGCTGTGAGCCACCATGTGGTTGCTGGGGATTGAACTCAGGACCTCTGGAAGAGCAGTTAGTGCTCTTAACCTCTGAGCTATCTCTCCAGCTCCCTATTCTGTGATTCTTTTTGTGCTTTTAACTCAGTAAGGCTTTTAGGTAGGTTTTTGTTTTTGTTTTTTGTCCCTCTCCAAGTACTCAACATCACGGGTAATCTTTCCTCTCTGTGTGCTGAATTTATATCTGTGCTTTACATGTAAAAAGAGCAAGCCATTCTTTATTTCTCTACTAACCAGTTTCTGCCCCTTTGGGGAGATATTGTTACTATGGAGACATGTTTGCAATGATAGGCACCACATGGATATTGATGCTATTATAAAAAGTATGCTTTTTATCAAATGGAGAAAAGAACATGGAAATTTACTACATGATTCAGTAAAGAAAACTTAGAGAGTTTTCTTTACTGATGCTGTAAGAAACTACCCCAAGAAAAGCACCTTGAAGGGGAAAGGATTTATTTGGCTCACAGTTGAGGTTATAGGTCATAGTTCATCATAGCCTAGGTTATAGGTCATAGTCCAGCACAGTCCAGGTTATAGGTCATAGTCCATCACTGCAAGGAAGTTTCATGGGTGGGAGCTGTTCACATTGTGTCCATAGTCAGAAGAAGTTGATGCCACATGCCACAGCTCAGCTCAGTCTCTCCTTTTCTAAGTTTAGTGCTCAGTCAGGGAATGGTGCCTAGTCCCGGGGATCCCCAGAGGCCAGCTTGACCTAGATCCTCCTCACTGAAAATCACAGGCGATTCTGCATCATGTTAAGCCGATAGTTAGAACTAGCCACCATACAATCAAAAGGTATCTTTTAAAATGTGGCATTTTTCTAACTGCTAATATAATACAATATAATATAATAAACATTTGAATCCAGCATTGTTCTCATAGCACTAAATTCATAAGCCCTGCATGGTATTGACAGGATGCTGGCATGGCCTCCTTCCCTTCAGCTGCTCCCTTATATAAAATGATATAGCATTTGATACACACGGGCACGTTCTCTTTGTGCTTGGTGCCATCTCTAATGACTGTGTGTATGATGTGTGAATAGCCGTTGTGCACCAGAGTCCAGGGAACAATGACAGGAAAAGTCTGCTCATGTTCAGTACAGGGCAGGGTGGCCTGTACTATCTCTCCATCATGTTGTTCATTAGCTTTTTCTTAAGTTTAATCCACCCCCTTTTCTGTTTCTGTGTGGGGTTTTGATTTAGGGTATGATTTGTTTATTGTTTTAAGTGCATGTCCCGAAGGGTCTGTGGAGACATCATTCACCTCAGACTACCTGTCTTCGGCATTGTGCTTTCTTCTGGGATGGGGTAGGGCAGGAGAATAGTCACACCTGACAATTCTTTGATCTCTTTGTTTTAATTTCTTCCTGCAGTACCTGCATATGGCCCAGGCATTGTGTGGGCCGATGTCTATTCTTTTGTGGGTGGCAGTACCTCTCCTGATAGTGGCTGTGTGCCTGCTGAAGAAGCTTAGTCTTATGCTCTGGCTGGCACTGCTGTATACCCAGTCGGTGCTCTTCTCTTCCCTTATAACTTGCTCTTCCCTAAGGCCCTCTAGTAGGCCCCTCTTTCCCCAGCCTTTTCTGGAGGCTTTTGGTCTCAGAATCATGTCTTCTCCTTCCGTGTGTCTACTTGAGCTCCTCATCTTCATAGTGCTCTTGGTCTCGGAGTATGTTGACCTCCTTCCTAGCTCTGTACATCTGTTGCCTCAGTGATGAAACAGCTTTGTAATGGCACAAGCTCTGGTGTTCATTTCTTGTCTTTCCTCTTCCAAGTGTTTTGAGGTTGTAGCCTCTGTTTGCTATAGATGGTGAAAATCATGCTCGTGGACCTTGACGTGTGGCCTGCGTTGGCCTCGTGACTCTAGGAGAGAGGTGTGTGGAGAGATTCAGGTCTCTAGTCCCAGAAGCATCCCCGAATTTCTTAACACGCAATGCTAAGCTCATTGCTAAGATGAGTGACTTATGGTGGAACTCTGGGCCTTCAATCTCCAGATGGAGTTCTCATGTCAGTGAACCACCGAAGTCCTCTTCAAGCCATCGAGCCGGTCGTCACATCTGCCTACAAAAAACAGAGCTTGGTGCTCTCACCCTTTTCTTCTCAAGAAGGTATGAGAGCCCTGGCATCCATGAAACCCTTCAAGCAGTGGTTATGCAAAGCGTTACACTTACTTAAAGCTCCTTTCCCTCACATTTGTTTCTGCTTTCTCTAGAAATGGCAGGCTTGTCATTTCACATCGCCTCCCTGGACGAGAGCGGCATTCTCAATGTGTGGGTGAGTAGGGAGTGCGGAGCCATGCTGACAGCTGAGCGAAACCACCTGGGAGGAGAACGACAACTGGCTTGGGAATGGGTCAGAGATAGAACAGAACAAGACAGTAAGACCCTCTGTTCTGTGAAGGGGTATGGAATTGTATGCCTGGCCGTTGGCTTCTGGGAATGTGTAAGGAAGATCCTAACACAGCATTAGTGCTGAAGGGTATGTTAGGACATGAATTGGGGGCTACTAATGAGAGAGCATAGTAGTGAGATAAAATAACGAATAAATAAATCTAAGCCATTAGTTCTAAAGAAAATGATTATGAAACAATTAACTTTTAGGATATAATATAGCATGTTATTTTATTAGAGCTATGTTTTGCTTAGATTGTTTTATAGTTACAAAATGTTATCAGTATTCATTTTTTTTCAATGTTCTGTTTTTAGGTGGTTGTTGAATTACCAAAGGCAGATATCTCAGGTTCAATGAGTGATTTAGGTAACTATTGAAGTAAAAATTAATTATTGTTTGCTCAAATGAGTAGAGATTAAAGATATCACAACCTGCTTTGAGATATAAGTAATCAGCAGCACGAAAAATGGACATAGGAGTTGTATGGACATCTCATTAGCTAAAGTGATTGAATGATGTCCAGTGGGCATTTCTTTGTGTAGGTGTCAGAAGTTCTGCTCACAGCTAGCATTCATTCTGCCCTCTGATGTAAGTTAAGGCGACAGTCGTCTTCTTCTTCTTCTTCTTCTTCTTCTTCTTCTTCTTCTTCTTCTTCTTCTTCTTCTTCTTCTCCTTTTCCTTCTCCCTCCTCCTCCTCCTCCTTCTCCTCCTCCTCCAGGTGTCCATGTGGGGCTTTCTTCTGGGGTTTTGCATTTACCCAGTGCACATGAGTTCACTAAGTGTGGCTCTCCTCATGCCACCTGGAATGGGTTCCCTGATGTGCCACTCAAATCCGTTTTCCTGTGGCTGTGGTAGAGAACAGTGACAGCAGGCCTGATGTGTAGTTCTGCCCCCTCTATGATGGCATCAGCATTGTTGTATGGTGAATGCAAGTGACAGGTCATGCTACTGTACACTTGCAATTGCCCTTCCTAGCAGTGGGTTGCATATATGTCTGCATGCTTTTAATTCAAGGTTCTGGATAGTGCCTTGCCTAGAACTTTGGTTTCATTATATATAGATCTCTAATTCTGCCACCCCCCCCCCTCCGCAGTAATGTACAAAATAGGGAAAATAGCTTTAACACAGACATTTGGCAGAGACAACTGAAGGTGTCCATATCTGAGGAGAACAAAGGAGGGAAAGGAAAATAAAGCCAGTCCTCCTGGGACCTGTAGTAGGTGTTTGAGTGGAAGTTTAGAGGAGCTGATCAACAGAAACCGAGACTGGGAGAGTTTGGGAAACTAGGGGCCATTTAACAAACTGGAAACCTGGGAGGTTCCGATGATGGATTTAAATGACAGGCGCCTTGGGTATTACAGCACAGGGTTTGGCGTTCTGAATTAAGCATCCAGACATATGATGCCTATTTTTCTCACTAGTCTGAAAATGTGTGGGCATTTGGATAATGGTCCCACGGGATTCTGATAATGACCTACAAATTCTTGACTCTCCTCTTCAGCAAGGTACAGGCACCTCCATCAGATTTAAAGGGAGTCCTGTCGGTATTTACGTCTTGGCATTCCTTCTGGTTATAGATATTTAAATAAGGAAGAACAGATCCAGACCACTGTAGGTAGATTTTGGTTTAGCTTGCGCTAAGAGGTTTGTGTGTTTCCGGTTTGTCTGACTCTAGGTCTGATACCTGGAGGGAGGATCAAATTGGTGCACAGTACTGTGATCCAGTTGGGCAACAGGTGAGACTTGCACTGGGGATTGGACACATCCCTCATCCCATTCCTCATCCAGGAAGGCTATCCCTCATCACACCCCTCATCCCAGAAAGACTTAGCTTCCGGCTAAATATGTTCTGTTTTTGCAACGAGGACCTATTTTTCTCACATTTGGTTTTTGCTATGTGAATTTTCAGTAATAAGCCAATCTAACAAATATGTTTTTCAGATATAACGCTAATGTATTCATAAAATGTTTCTTAGCTTATAAGTTGATGCTACTTGACTGGTTTCATCCAATTTTAATTTAGACTTAAAGTTAGTTAAACTTGGTCAAATTAAGTTTCAGGAACTGGAAACATTGAAATAAATTTTATTCATAAATTTATATTTCTAGCTAGGCACAACTCAAATCTATAGTCCTAGCATTTGGTAGGTAGAAGAAGGGAGATTAAGAGTTCAAGGCTATCTGTGACTATACAGTCAGCTTTAGACCAGCCTGGGATATATGAGAACCTATCTCAGATCAACAAATAAGCAAACAGAAATACCAAAACAAAAACAAAAACAAAAAACAAAAAAATCCCAAACCCTGTATTTCTGCTTTTACTCATAGAACTTAATATGAAGTATAGATTCTTAATGAATTCCAGTATTAGTAGTATTTATATGTTCCATATTGGTTCCTGAAGACACATACATACATACATACATACATACATACATACACATACATTCATATTCTGTCATTTGCTCACTGAAACTGTTAGTATGCGAGTTGCCCTCAAAAAGTCTTTGAACCTGTATCCTTTTCATCACACAGACTACAGTGAATACAGTCATGCTTAGAGGCTTCAAATCAACTTACATGACTGAAATATAATTATGAAAGCAGATCAGTTAAAGCCATCAGATATGTGCAGAGCCAGGCATGCACGTGTTATGCAGGCCATTCCCTGACTTCACGTGCTGTATACCTCTGGGAGCTCATAAGAGACTCTCCTCTCTGCCTGAGAACTAATCTCCTCCTGGATTTAACTGTATGCTCTTTCGGGGACTTAACTATATACTCTTCAAAGGGAAATAACTAATGTATTTGAATAACTCAAAACCCACAGTTGTGTTTTTGCAAGATCTGTGGGAAAGGAGGGGTAGAGGCAGACTGGATTATAGGGAGAGGTCTAACTCTGTAGCCTCCCCTACCTTGGGTAAACTGGTGTGGCTGGCCAGACTGATAGGCTAGCTCTTTGCCCCTTTCCTGCCGCCTGTACGCTGTGGATGTCCAGGGAAGGTGTCACCCTTGGTGTAGTAGCTGTCTTGCCCTCAGTGATCCCAGTAAGCCTGCCAGTGACATAGAACATTTCTTGTTGGCATGGTTACAGGAGTATGATGTGTTGTTATCATGGGTATAGGCATGTAGGAGCTTGCAGGAGGGCAGGGTTAGGTCCAGCATGAGATGGGAGCATTTGGGAAAAGTGATACGTGATTTTTTGAGTAAGAATGGTCCCTATAGGTTCATCTACTGGAATGCTGAGTCACCAGGGAATAGAACTGTTTAAGAAGGATTAGGAGATGAGGAAGCGTATCAACTGGGGATAGGCCCTGAGATTACAAAAGCCTGTGTTCAGGCCCAGTGTCTCTCTGCCTGCTCTCTGTGGATCCAGGTGCAAAGATCGCAGTTACTGCTCCAGTATCATGCCTGTCTCTTTCCTGCCATGACCATGCACTAACCCTTTAAAACTGTCAGCAAGCCCCCAGTTAAATGCTTTCCTGTGTAAGAGTTGCCTTGGTTTTGGTTTCTCCTCACAGCAGTAGAACACCGACAAAGACATGCTAACTGGATTCATCCTTGAAAGCCTGGCAAAGGAGCATGCACGCCATGGGTCTAAGGCAAAAGATACCCACACTTAGAAATGCCAGCAAGTCTGATGTTGAGAAAGATGGGATGAGTTGGTGGTTGGCCTTGACATGCCTGCTTCTTTGCTGACAGTGTAGATGGTGTTTTGGTAAGACAGGGTCTTACGCTGAAGAAGCAGAATCTCATTTTTGAGATGTAGGATGATAATCAACTTGGGAAAAATGTTAGTTTGGAGTACAGAGAGTTCCGGAAACTGGAGTCAAGGAGGAGTCAAGTTAGGAGGCCGATATGGTGGCCTGTAGGGGGAAATCCTGTTTAGAGGTACTGCTGGCCACGCCTGCTTGGGGCTGGCCACAGGTGCCGCTGGCCACGCCTCTAAACAGGATTTCCCCCTACAGTGGCCTGTATGAGAAGCAACATGGGTGTGGAGAACTAGATGTGACTTAAAGAGTAGAACTGGAATCTGATGGTCAGCTGATGAAACAAGCAGTGGGAGGGAGGAGCCTCAGTTGGCCCCGCCTTCTACGTGGTCTGCTTAGGGGGTGGTACAGCTGAGGAGAAGAGGGGTTATTTGTGTGTCATCTGTGTGAGTGTTCTGCCTGCCCATATGTATGTGCACATGTGTATCTGGTGCAAGCAGAGGCTAGAAGAGGGCATCCGATTTCCTGGAACTGGAGTTACTGAGCGGTAAGCTGCTGTACAAGTTTTGGGAACAGAATCCAGCAGCAAATGCTCTTAATTGCTGAGCTGTTTCTCCAGCTCCAGATACAGTTGGGTTTTTTTGTTTGTTTGTTTGTTTTTGTTTTTGTTTTTTTTAAAAGAAAATATCTTAATGCTAGGAACAAAGAGGGAAGTTAAGTTAGATAATAAGGTTTTGAACTAGTGGTGACAAGGTTCTTAGGCCTTTACCATAGTGTCTCAAGCCCTGTGCAATCAGAGATGTATTGGGCTTGCCCGAGTTAGAGACTAGAATTGAGACCCCTGCACGTGAGGGAAATTTAGAAAGTTCAACCCCTAGTTAAGGGAAAATGGGTACTTGGAAGAATTTGAAACCTCAAGCTAGATGTGTATGGGAACCTGCAAGTTGGGGTGTGAACATCGGAGTCCCAGGGACCTTGAGACATAAGGACAGCTGCCTGGTGGGATTTCCCCAAGCCGTCTGCAAAAGATGAGCTCACAAACTTACAGGAACCAGAAACATGAGGAAACAGGGCACCCTGGAGCACAAATAGGATTAATCAGCATACTGTGAACTGTCACCACAGTGGACTTCATCATAGTCACCCACTAACTCACCTTGTCTCTCAGCATCAGACTTGCCGGCAATTGTACAACACACTTTTAGAAGCAATGCTGTAATTTCTAAAATTTCAGTCAGTGAGCGGTAAAGTAGCAGATTCAGCGTAGTCGATAAAAGAATCAGTAAACTGAAGGATGGATCTGTAGACATGATCAAGCTTGCAGTCCATGAGAAAGAAATAGGCAGCAGAGTAGCTGCAGTCATGGAAGAAGTGTGCTATACCTGTTCCTCCTTGGATGATAGTTGGCAGTGTTAGGCCAGTGTAAGGTATTGTTGCCATCCAGGTTTTGCAGAAGCCATGTGTTCATCTCTGCTGTTTATTTTTCAGTATTTCCCATAAAGATAGTGAATTCTGGGGGTCCGCACAAACATTAAGTGTCAAATTTCTGCCTTCGGATCCTAATCACTTTGTTGTTGGCACCGATATGGTTAGTAGTGTTTTACATTTCATCCTTTCCACCTAGCCTTACCTGATAAATATCTTTATTTATTTATATTTATTTATATAAATTTATTTATATAAATAAACTTATATTTATTTATCAGATTAACTTAACTGTTTGCCTTTGTTACAATGTCTGAATTGTTTCATGAGTCCGGTTTTGTTCAGTCTTGTGTCTAATACTTTTCTTCGGCCATTCTTGGTATTCTTGTGATAATTAGGGACTTATAAAGCACAGTACCAGACAAGATTGGAGAGTGTCTCCCAAGGTGTTCAAACCTCAGCAACTTGTTGCCAGACCTATAAAAGTTCACGTGATCGATTTTTCACCATTTGAAGAAACAGTATTCCTGGTAAGAAAGTCACTTTTCATTGGTATTATTTGCTTATTGGGGCATCATAATATTGCAATCCAGTAGAAAATTTTAGAAAGTATTGGTCTCTTAGTAGGTCTACAGATTTATCATTTACTGGGCTTCAGTGATCTACAAAGGAGACATGGGATATTAACAGAAAACTAAATCAAACTGACTCAGAAATTTAACTCCCAAGAAATACTTTGTTCAGTTGCAAAGCACTCAGACTTTAGCAGGAAGAGACATACCCGTGGTCAGCCAGCTCTCGAGACAGCTAATCCAGCCCCAAGAATTAGCCCTCTCCTACAAAACAGTCATGAATCCCTTCTGGGGACCACAAGCCCTCACCTAATTACCTTCTGCTGGACCCCTTCCCTGAAATGTCACACTGCCTCTCAGCACTGTTACTTTGAGGACTTGGGTCTCGAGCACAGGAATCAGTGGGGGCAGACTTCATTCAGACCACAGGGGTGGTTTACCATCTGCCTGACTAAGTGTGCAGTCCCAGAATACACAGGGCTTTTGATATCTCATGCAGATCAGCCAGTTTCAGTACTCAGGACTCTCTGTATCTGAGTCAGAAGCTGCACACCCGGACATTGTGCTCAGAGGTTATTTGGCTTAGTTCCTGCCCCTGTATCCTGTATGATTGTGCTACTTATCTGAAATTAGGGCATAAAGGTGTTTCTGTTTGTATTTTATGTTAGAATTTGATCTCTTGTTGACATTCTAGTTGAACACACACACACACACACACACACACACACACACAGAGTTTTAGAATTTTATACAAGTGCACCTTTTTTGAGTATGGGAAAGGATTAAATAGTAAGGAAGAATTAATCTTCTCTTTATAGGCTAGTAATGTGATCTTTCACTAAACCAGCCATGTTTCATAAAAAAAAATTTTTTATGAAAATTTCAATCCAAAGGGAACAAACATATAACCATACTGTCAGTACAAATAGAGCTGTTTAAAAGGTGACACTCCTCCTGTGGAGCCCGCCCTAGCATCCTGTGCTGGAGTCAGTGGCACTCAACAAACACTCATCTGTGTTTTCTGAGAGTGCAGTGACGGCTGGTGTCAGTTTCCAGGGTGAGTGCTCACTCACTATTTGTGAGCATAGGTTTAGTGTCTTGATATTCAGAACAAACAAAAGCAAGCCAAACGCTCTGAGAAAATTAGCTGGGTGTTGAGATTTAATTTAAAAAGAAAGAAAAAAATGGGTTTCCATACCCCGATTGCAGGCTGGCTGTTCGGATGGAAGCATCAGGTTGCACCAGCTGGCGTCTGAGAGGCCAGTCATGCAGTGGGACAGCAGCACTGGTGGCCGCTCTGTGATGAGCCTGCAGTGGTCCCCAACAAGGCCTACTGTGTTCTTGGTCCAGGATGATGCATCCAGGATCCATGTCTGGGACCTGCTTGAGAATGACCTGGGTCCTGTGGCTCAGCAGTCCATCTTTCCAGACAGGTGAGTGCAAGGCCGTCACCCTCATCTCTGGTCTGTCTTGAATCACATGTTTAAGTTTAAATTAAGTACTACATTTATATATTATATAGTCAGAAATACTTTTTAAAGGTAGTTTTAGTTTGCAGTCAAACAGAAAGATACACAGAGCTCCTGTTTGCCCTCTGACCCCCAGGCGTGCACCCGCCTTGCTGCCAGCACCTCCATCCAGGCGCACCCTGCTGTAATTGGTCCACACTGACTCTTCATGACCACCCTATTCCACTTTACTGATGTGTGTTCCGCCCTTAGTGTGCAGCAAGCAATGCTAGGAAACTCTTTTTAAGATGCAGTTGTCTCATGTTTAGCTTCAGTAAGCACAGTGGACAGCAGAATTGTGTGAGTCCCTCGTTATTATCATTCGGGATTCCACGCATGTTTGCGTGATCTAGTTTCTCAAAGGGGATAGGACATATGAGACATAAGTCATGGAGTCTGTGTTCTTGTCAGACACTGTAGCTCTCTGCTCCTGAGTCACACCAGTCCCCAAGCTCCCTTTCCACCTGCGTGTGCAAGCACCCTGCTGGTGTGAATTGTATTGATGCTAATGTGTTTAAACTTCTGTTAGCATCCGTCCGTCTGTCTGTCTGTCTACCTATTATGTCTGTGCATAATCAAATATTCTGTGGTGCTCATGTGGCACTCACAGGGCACCTTGTGAGACTTGTTCTTTCCTTCCACCATGTCGGATCCAGGAACAGAATTTAGGTCATCCGCCTTGGTAGCAAATGCCTTGACTGGCTGAGCCATCTTGCTGGCCCATTGCTAAGATTTTGGAATAATTCTTTGCTTTTGTTAATTTATTTCAAAGTGGCAGTACTTATAGAAGATTTCATTTGGAAGAGTTTTCTCTTGACCCCAATTTGTCTAGTCTCCTATATTTTGTTCTTGGAATTTTATAAATATATATTGTATGTGTATGTTGTATATGTGCTTTTTTGAGACAGGGTTTCTCTGTGTAGCTTTGTAGACCAAACTGGTTTCAAACTCACAGAGATCCACCTGCCTCTGCCTCCCAAGAGCTGGGATTAAAGGTGTGCGCCATCACCTGACTGAAAATAGATTATTTTTTCATACAGTCTATTTTGATTACAATTTCCCCTTCCTCAGCTCCTCCCAGATCTGACCCACTTTGGATTCACCCAAATCCACACCCTTTCATTTTTGCGCTCTCCTTAGAATACAAACAGGTGATAATAACAACAATAACAATAAGATAAAAACAAACAGTCCAGAATAGGACCAAACAAAGAAAAAAAAGCCAAAGAAAAGTCACAAGAAACAAACAGATGCTGAAACACATTCCTACATACAGAAAGTCAATAACATATATAATCAAAGGATCTGTAAGGTTAAAAAAAAAAAGTCTAGACAAAACATTGTGAGTCAAAAAAAAAATCTTCCAAAATACCTTTGAGTTTGTTTTTATGTTGGGTGTCTGCTGCTGGGCATAGGGCCTGACTTTAAGTGTGGTTTGTGTACCCAGTGCAACTCAGCGGAAGAAAACTAATTTTTCCATTGTGAGTGGTTATCAACTGGAGATAGCATTTGGCTTAGGGATGTGGATTTGTGTCTATTCTAATTAAGTATTCATCAAGAGAACTGGCTATAGTCGCAGGAGTATAATCCTAGCACTTGAGAATCTGAGGAAGGGGGATTACAAGTTTGAGGCCAGCTGGGGCTCTTGGGGAATTCCTGACCAACTTGGGCTACATAACCTGACCTTGCCTTGAAAGATAAGGAAACAGGAAGTATCTGAAGATCTGAGGGCTCATGCCTGTCAATCATCCCAATCATCCCAGTACAAGAGAGACTGAGGCTGGAGGAGGATCTCCAAGCCACCCTGAAAAGAGAAACACAAAAACCAATCAGCTGATCCCTCCACCTGGGTTCACATATGAATACATTGACATCTATAAAGTCAGCCTAGAGGAGTCCCAGGGAGGTGTGGCAGAAGGGTTGGACACTTCCTGATGGGAATGAGGGGTATGTGAGTGGGGACAAGGTTACCTTCAGATTGTATTTCCGAGAGACTTCTCGAGGAGTTGGGGTGGAGTTGGAGACACACCCTCAGCCCGGTGGAGGCAGTGGGGAGGAGAGGCCACACAGGGTGTCGAGAACACTGGAGCGAGCTTGTTGCTGCAGAGAGTCTGGGGGTCTGGGTCTCAGGGACAGGCTCAGCTGGAGGACAGATCTGTGGGCCTCGAGATTGGGAGCCTGAGATACTGGGGAACCCTCACATGGGATCACCCCATTGTCTGTGTGGTAGGGATGGCCTGCTGAGGCAGTGTGCAGACCCCAAGGTTAGAGGGAGGAGCTGCAGAGGGAGGAGGGGGAATATCAGTCACCCTTGTGTCTGCAGACACACATCCTTTGGGATTTCCTCGTGATCAGCAGGCCCCCAAGATGCCAGAATGTGCTTTCACATGTTTGCTTTTGTTGTGGTGTTTTGTTTTAATGTTTTTTTAGTTCCTCTTTTATTTCACACTTGCCTTGAATGTAGACATTTTGAAAGTCACACTTGTGTCCTGACTTCCCAAGTCATGTTCTCTCTCAACCTGCAGGCTTGTGGCCATGACCGTCATGGGGGATCCGGAGAAGGCCAGCGGTAGCTCTGTGGCCCTGGTGTTGGCCAGGGTCTCTGGCACAGTTGACATCCAGTACCTGAAGAGGCGGTGGACTACCCCAGTGGCGGCAGATGAGCACAGCCAGCTGCACGTGCTTCTTCGGAAATGAGGGTGTACTGTCAGGAGAATGACAAGCGCCTAAGACTTGATTTCAGGACGCCTCCCTTGACTCCGTGTCCATGTGACTGTGTGCTGTGCTTGTGTACATAGAATGTGTATATTCTGTACATAATTTTTTGTTCTAGGATAACGGAACTTTGGCATTCCCAGGAAATAAACCACGATTTTTAATGGAAACAATGAACATTTTAGTGTATGTTCCACCTCAGAGGAAGTACTGATATCAGAAAGCTCTTCTATTTCCAGTTATTTTTGGAACAATTTAAAAAATACTGTCACATTTATTACAGGATTTTAAACAGCCCGCCATGAAAATGTACTTTAATGGACTATTTTCTTAGGCATGCATAAAATGATGAACTTTTATCTAAAGTAAAATAAAAAAAATTGCTCACTTTGGAGATGACTTTCACCAGCCTTCTGTTTTTAAAGTTTTCTTGAACACCAGTTCTTGGTGTGACTCGAATGACACTCATAGAACTGAGTCAGATGCATTTCAGAGTGTGCTTCAGCATGAAAACCATCTTCATGTAGAAATAATACAAGTAAATAAATCTTCTTGACTATGGAGTAACAGGAGATGCGCTGAATTTGAAGGTACCAGCTCCCCATTTCGGCAGCCATGACAGTAACAGGCACTTGTCTGACCTTGCCTTGGTCACTAGGAGGTCAGATGCCTGCCTCGTGGCAAGGAACTAATCAGAAGTTAGCTGGTGGTGCTATGTTTTACAGCTCTGGGTGGGCTTTGCGGACAAGCGCACAGCAATGACGCACAGAGCATAGCAACCACCCTGGGAGGGCCTATGGGCCATAACAACCAGTTGACCAATCAACACAGGACAAGCCCTCCAAGCCTGGAGGTACACCAATAGTGAGCCTGTGCGTACCCCTAGACACTCCCCTTACACTGTCCTATAAGATCTTTATGCAGACGGTTCGAGCTGTCTTTTCTAGCCATCCACCATGGTGGATGGATGGAAGGCCGGAGCTAACATGGGGTTAGCTCGTTAAACAACTTTAATAAAGCCTCATGCTGTTTGCATCAAGCTTTCGACTCCGCATGGTGATTGGGGTGGCCGCAGTACTGGGCTGAGATCCTGGGGGCCTGAGCTTTCTGGGGGCGGTGGGGGGAGGGTCTTACAAATTCATTTGTAAATACCAGAAACTGGTTTCTCACAGTTGGAGAAGCTAGAAGTCCAAAGTTCTGCCTCCAAAGACGGCACTGTGCAGCCATGTCCTTACTTGGCAGAAGGTGCACAGACACAGGGTGCTAGCATGCTCCCTTCCCCTTTCCTACAGCAGCACTAATCCCCTCATGAGGGCTCATCCTCCCCAAAGGCACCATCTCCTCATAACATCGCCTTGCAGTTCAAGTCCCAGTTCGTGGGTCAGAAGGCCACACATGTCAGGACCACACCAGAGGAGGGTGAGGATGAGCTCACAGGAAAACTCTGCGTCTTACCAGTAGATCTGTAGGGGATGCTGGCAGCATAGGTAAAGCTGCACTTTCCCAGCCGGACGTAAGAGTGTTTGGGGCCTGGAAGGTGACCGGAAAACTTTGTTGCCTGCATCTGAACCCATGGGGGTCTACCGCTATTTCCCCTGTACAATGCAACTGTCTGCTCTTGACGGTCTCTTTCAGTGTCCATCAGCTTTTGCTTTCTTTTGCATTGTGTTGACTCAAAGCCAACTTGTTTATCATGAAAACGACAGAATAGTTCAGCTTAGTCTGTCCCATCTGTAGAAGCTCAGTCGTGCTGTTCAGACATGTCTCAGTGTGTACTTGTACAACAAGGCACACATGCAGTCACGTACAAGTATGCCCACACGCAGCATGCGCACGCTGACCCAGTCAGGTACTGCTGTAGCTGGCTGGTTTCTCTCCACAAGGTGGCACCAGGAGTCTTTATCCCCTGTTGTCCTGGCCACCTACTCTCACAGGAAGCAATGGGTAACAGCAGAGATGGAGACACACAGTGGCTGCTGCTGCTTGGCACGAAGGGAGAACGTGTTAGGGGGCATGTTTATGGGATTGGCACGGTGCCACTGAGTAAGTGTGTGTTTAGCCAGTCTGTGTTAAACAAAGGGCTGGAATCTCTTCTCTGCAGCTCCATAAAACTCACGACTTAGTTACAGATGAGAGAGGTGAGACACTGGGCGCAGTCCTTTGTCTAGAATGTTTAAGATGGGTGCTGTTTTTAGGTTTCTAAGTTAGAACTGGTATTTCCTCTTTCTTTAGATCTCATCTGTATCAGTGTCTGTGAGTCTTAGATGTTTGCAGCAGCTGACAGTCGCTTCCATCCTCTGCCTGACTCTCTGCTGTGAGATATGGACTGCTTCCTCGTTGTTGTGCTCTTGTGTTGTGTGGCCCAAGCGTAGCAGCATGTGGGATTTATTTTTAATGCAAAACTATGCAGATAAATGAAGATAAGCCTTCAGTTTTTTTTTTTTTTTTTTTTTTTTTTTTTTTTTTTTTTTTTTGTCCTTCAGACAGACTTGTACCACAGGAGAAGGTATGATGGACAGAAACGACATAGTGAGTGGCTGTGTGGCCCTCTGGAAGGCTGTGTGTATTTTAGGTGTACACAGTGTATATATAATGTATATAGTGTGTATATATACTGTATATACTGCCTTTGAGGTGGCCTATTGTGTGTGACCAGAGTCATATGCTGAGCGCAGACAGGGTTGACTGTTCCTTACCTGGTGTTGATCTTGATAGCATGCCTTCCCTGCCTCTCAACCCGAGTGGCCTCCACTCCCAGAGTCTCACAGAACGTTTCCTTTCCAAGCTTCACAGCTGAATATTCTGTGAGTTATGCAGAAACATGGTGACCACAGAGAAAGGAAAACAGGCCAAGCTCTTTGCCCCCATGCTCTCCTCCAGGGAAGACAGCTCACAGTGTGTCTTTCCCCTCTACACTGTTGTTTGCAACAGTCCCTCTTGGCCTCTAGTAAGAGGGACAGCAAAGGACAGAAGATAACCATTGTATCAGAAAATCTTCCCCTGGCTGGAAGTATGCAGGCTCCTTATTTAGAGTCTGGAAAGGTGATTGGTTGAGGGAACAGCAAACCTAAGCGTGAGGTTAGCTAAACTTGGGAGTGCTTTGCCATGTTTAATCCTGGATTTCATCCGTGGCTGGATTTAGAGTCACCGAGGAAATGGAAGAGCACCTGTGGTTGTGTTTGTGGGTGCCATCCAGAGAGGATTGACTGAGGAGAGGACTTACCCTGGAATAGGGGCCACACTGTCCCCAGGGTTGAGGCCCTAGAAGCAGATGAGGGCCAGCATTACCTTCTCTGAGCTTCCTGTCTCTCCAACTGGGAGCTGCTCTATTGAGGCACACTGCTTTCCCTGGTACCATGGCCTGAGCCCTCAGAAATGATGACAAAATAAAACCTCTCTTCTTAAGTTGTTCCACCCCTAGTTCTTGTGTAGTATCTTGATCATTTCGATGTTAAAACAGATTAACAAAGATATCTTATGTTAATCTGTTAAAACGGATTAGCATAGAGGATGCTTGGAGTAGCTTGACTAGGGAGAAAGCAGACCATGAGGCCTTGCTGGGAGAGGGCTAAGCTTCTGGAAGAAGGGACAGGATCCCCAGGAGCCTGATGGAACTCTAGATGTTAGCGGAGAGATAAAGAATAAAAGGGCTTTTCAGAATTTGTGTAAAGTATTTTATTTTCCTGTTTTTTTTTTCTTGCCTTGAGTAAGTTGTGTTTATGGTAATATTCCACTTTGTGCGTTGTGTTGCTATATCACTCACAGCTCTGAAAAGTTCCTAGTGGTTTTCCTTGGGTTTGCAGTACCACTTTTTTCATGTTTAAGTCGTCACCCTCCTCCCAGTACGTGCCTTTCTTTCTGCTGAACTTTTAGGGTAGGGGAGAGGTGCTATTGAAGGCTGGGACTTGGTGCAGATTCTTCCCGTGACATCTAGGGTTCAGGTGTTGGCTTTTGAGACCTTTGCTCTCAGCATCCTGCTTAGCATTTCCCTGGGTGAGCCCTGCCTCAGGGAACGGGCACTTGTTTGAAGCACAGGCCTGTTGGTGGGGCTGGGGCTGGGTGGTTTGGCCAGGCCAGTCTCAGAGGAGCAATGTCTGGACCCTATCCAACATTCCCCGGTTCCTCCCTCCCAACCGGCTGCGTGATATCACAGATGTCCTGAGGAGATGGAGTGAAGGCCCTGGTGCAGACCCTTCCCCTGCCCGGCGGCTCCTGTTCTCACCAGCTTCTCTGAGCACCGGCGGTCTAAAGGGCTTCCAGCACGGCGTCCAGTCGGCACATGCTGTCTGTCCAAGGCTTTGGCCTGGGTGGTCTCAGCACATGTGTCCCTGGGCCTCGGTGAGCTTATCCCAAGGGGATGCTCAGTGGTAGCTCCGCACCCAGAAGTTCCCTCTGTGTCCACAGGAAGAAACCAGTGAACGGCCCGCTAATGCATTTGTAGAAGCAGAAGGCAGTATGGCACATCAGCCACACGGGGGCAGCACCATCACTTTGAGCTTGGCCAGCCCCCACCTCGGGTCCACTTCCCCACAGTTGATGCCTGGATGATTGATTCTAAACAACAAAAAGCAATAGGCTCGAAAACTCACAGTAATACCCACACCACAAGTGGTCACGAGCCAACATGGGGCTTTAAGGAAAGGGAAGCTGTGATGAAGCGGGCACTGGGTGTGACTCTCATACTGCCTGTTGCTTCCCCCAAGAGAAGGGCTGTGAGAACCGGAGGCAAGCACACAGATCAGCACATTGCAGCAGAAAGGAGCCCCAGGCGGACCCAAAGAAACTCTTAAAAGGAACTCTCAAAAAGAACTTTCCACACTGGTTGAGCTGTGCTTGTTACCACCATTTTTAGG